CAGGTCATTTTTAGCCAAAACCACTGGGTGACTTCATGGAAGACCCATGAGAAAGCTTCTCCCACCCAGCCAGAAGGAAAGTTCCAGGCTCAGCACTCCCTGCACCCCCAGTCACCTCCATGCCATGACCTGCAGGAGCTCATGGCCTGGCAGAAGTGACCAGCAGCCCCAGGATCAGCTCTTCAGGCATTTTGAGCTCACAGCCCTCCTGCAAATTTTACAAGATTGCCTCTCCATCATTCATTTGCTATTTACTGCCCCACTGGAAGATTTTGGGGAGAAAACAAGTCTGTTCCTAGAACAACTTAAGGCACAGCAGTTCCTACTTTACCATAGGCTCCCACCAGCTCTGTGCCACCAACTTCTGTCCCTTCTCCACTGCTGCCCAGCAGGACACAATGATGCCCTTGGCCATCCACAGAACACTCTGCTTTTAGAGATTGTGAGAATCAACAGCAACAGCCAAAACACCATCGAGGACACAACTCTGGATCCCAGCTGGATGTTCCAAAGGACATGCCACAGCTCATCCCTGGAGGGATCAGGGTACACACAGCCTCTCCTGGGGGCTCCTGCACCAAGCCTGTCAGCCCCAAAAACTCAAAGATCCTGCTTAAATGGGACTCTAAGTTATCTAATTTTCTAGAAAGCTTCTTCCCATCACTACCAGAGGCAACACACTCGGGACATGGGCAAGGCGCCCTCCCGACCTCCCCACTCGGGGGGACCGGCCGCCAGCAAACCGGGCGGGCAGAGGCAGCCCCGGACCATCCCCCTGCGGTCCAGCACCGCAGCTCCAACCCGCCCATCCCAGGCTGTGCCCCGGGCTAACGGGGGCAGCACCTCCCGCGGCGTTCGTCCCTCATCACCACGGTCCCGAAAACCCCCCCTGTCCTTCCCCGCAGCCGTCGGGGCAGGGGTCGCGGCGGGTCCCTGCCCTCCTACGGACGCTGCCGGTGCCGATACCTGCCCGTTCCCGGTGCCGATCCGTCCCTCCCGTCCCGCTCCCGGTGCCGCACCCGCGCCCCCCGCCGCCCCCGCCTTATATGGGGGGCCGAGGGGGTGGGGCCGACCCCGTCCCCGCCCCCGCCCGGCTCCACCAATGGGAGGCCGCCTCCCCAAACTCCGCGCCGACCAATGGGGAGCCGCCCGGCGGGGCGCGCGCCGCCCGCGCCGCTTTCTCTGCAGCGCGCGGCCTTCCCCGAAATCAGCTGACCCCGAGGGGGCGGGGCCTCGAGCGAGGGGGCGGGGCGTTGTCGGCAGGGGGCGGGGCCGGGGCCGGTGACCCGCCCATGTCCCGGGTCTGTCCCGGGTCTGTCCCGGGTCGGGCCGTGCGCGGTGCTGACCCGAACTGTGCTGAGCTCAGCCTCGCCAAGGTCGGGCCCTCCCCGCCCCACACCAGCCTTCCCTGTCTCGGGTTAATCCACTCCCACTTCCAAACCATTCTCCCCAGTCCCAGACCAGTCTCTTCCCAGTCCCAGGTTGGTCCATGCCCAGTCCCAGATCAGTCCATCCCCAGCCCCAGATCAAGCCATCCTCAGCCCCAGATCAACCTTCCCCATTTCCAGACCAGTCTCCCCCCTCCCAGATCAATCCAGTCCCATACCAGTCTTCCCAGTCCCAGACCAGCCTCCCCAGCCAGTCCCAGATCAGTTTCCCCAGTCCCAGATTGGTCCCTCCCCAGTCACAGACCAATCTCTGCTATCTGCACTTCCAGCTCAGTCCTGCCCCATTACCAGATTGTTCCATCCCCAGTCCCAGATCACTCTCCTCAGTCTCAGATTGGTCCCTCACCTGTTTCCAACCACTCTCCCCAGTTTCCAACTGCTCTCCCCAGTCATAGATCAGTCCATTCCCAGTCCCAGATTGGTCCCTCCCCAGCCCCAGACCAATCTCTCCCATCCCAGATTGGTCCATCCCCCGTTCCAGGTCAGTCTTCTGATTCCAGTTCAGTCCATCCCCTGGCAGATCCTAGTTCACTCCTGGATGAACCCACAGTCCTGGATCAGTCCCTGTCTCCCTGCCCTGGCTATTCCCACTCTTCCCAAGCTGGACTCAGTGCCCTGGCCATGTCCAGCTCCTCCAGCCCAACCTGGCCATGCCCAGCCAGGGCCTCTGGCCATAGCAGCGCATAAAGGACCATCTGCAGCCTGACTTCAGAGGGGGTTTTTTTTGGGATTACCAGATTACACTCAGATTTCTTGGAAGAAAACCATAATTACTCCCATGTGGGTAATACAGAGAAATGGGAAATGTATGGAGCTGCACAGATGGTTTAATAAAAGTAAAGATCCAAGGTGCACAACCTTTCCTGTCATTTCTAATAAAGAACAGTCCTTGTTTTTAAACACCCAAATGATCCTTATCAGATCCCTCCCCATGAGATTCAGGGAGAGCCAAAAACATCTTTTGCAACCAGATACGGTCAGGAGGATTAATTCTCTTTTTTGACAAAAAAAATTTGAGCTTTTTTGCAGGGGGGGTTGTATCACTGTCCCTCACAACACCGATCCTGCCTCCTCATGCCAGATGGACACACCCCTGTAAAAAACTGTTTATTTTGTAAAAGTTCTGGCAAATTCAGGATATTTTAAAGGGTCTTTGTATAATCAAACCTCTCCATCCCCTCTGAAGATCAAAGACCTAGAAACATTGCGATGGAGTGGGGTGACCCCATCACTTCATTTTGGCTCTACCACTTCATAGGCAGCCTGAAAAGGAAAAATCTAAATTCCCTGGAGTGAGGATAAAATAATAACTCCATTAAGATGGGTTTTCAGGTATTTAGTTTAGGCTGGGAGTGTGATGCCCCACAGCCCTGCCCATGGCTGGCAAAAGAAGATGTGGATGCCTAGGGGGAGCAACAGGGCCAGGAATTTCTTGTGAGCTATTTCCCTTTGTGTGAACAAAACCCTGGGAAGCTCATTCATGCTTCAGTGGAGTGATTTTCCTTGTGCCAGAGGCACCAGGCTTCCCGGAAAGCTGATGTGGCACAGGAGAGCTGAGCAGCCAAGTGTGCAGTGAGCTTTGCAATGCAGAAAGGAGGGGAAATCAGCCCAGTTTTAACTGCCCCAGGGCTTGCATTCCAGTTCCCAGAAAGCCTAAAGCCACCACAGGTCCCACTGTGGCCAGAGTGGAAAAATATGTATATTCACCAGGGTCACTCCACAGATTTTGGGGAAATTGGGTTTAGATGCTGTTTGGGCATAGTTGTTGCTATGATGCGAGGCATGGGGAATGCTGCAGTTTACAGGGAGCATCCCTTGTGATACCCCAAATCTGGGGGATTTTTCCAAGTTTTGCTTTGGAGCCACGGTTCCTTGGGGAATGTTTGAATCCTATGGGATGGGCAGTTGTGGGACAGGAAGGACATGGCCATCCAGGCTGGATCAGGGACAGCACAGACAGCACTCTGTGGAGGTTATCACACCTACTGCAGACCCAATCTCTGTTATCACCCATCTCCAATGACTTCCTATTAACACCAGAAACCCACTTTCTTCTCTTTTTTCTTCCTGTGTGCAAGTTCCATTTTTCTGCTTCCTGAAATGATAACAGAGGCTGTAAATCTAATATTGATCCAGTTTGCTCAACCTCCCTTCAGTCTACTCCATCAACAGCATTTATGGGCCTTGATCTCATTAATTGCTTTCCCACACAGAACAAGCTGCAGGCACAAACCATGGCATTACTTACAGCTACGGGAATCCTTTTCTCCACTGGAAAAGGTGGGAAAAGCCTGCATAATTTTTTTTCCCAGAATTCTATACATAATGGCTAAACATTGATCCTCTAAATCTTCTAATTTTGCTGGTGGTTCTCATCAAGAAAATGAGAAACAAGATACATCAGCAGAGCGGTCATGTCATTCCCTCTCTCTATTCCCACTAGGAATACCACAAATCAAGTCCAGGCATCCTCATGGTTTTAATCACTCTCATCTTTATTAGGATTTGGGTGAGTCACCCCTGGTGCTGTTACACTTCAAGTACCCAGAAGTTTTGATTAAGAGAATTCCTAGAAATATTTTTAATGCCTTTTTTCTCAGAAGGAATTTCAGAACAGATATTTTTGAGAAGCCAAACAAGGTATTTGTAGTAAAAGGGCAAAGTGGCATGGAAGGGTTGAAGGTTTCCATGTGGAAGGGCTGAATGGGATGAGACCCCTTCCTTATAGGACAGGTAGGGGGAGTTCTGCCAATGAAAGCCCTGGAAATGAGTTTGGGATGAAAAGCGGGACATAGTCACAGTCTTTTGATATTAAAAAGTGCTGTAGGAGAGGGGCAGCATTAAACTGGTCCATGGGTTAACTGAGTTCAACCAAGCAATTGGCTTCTTTTGCTAACAGGAACATTCAGATCAGGCTCAGGGAAACCCCAAAGCCTCTCTGGCTCTGGGGATGGAAGCAGTGGGACAGGCAGCCTCCAGCACTGCTGGATTTCCCCCTCCCTGTGGGTAGGTTAAGAAAAATGCCAGACAGATGTTTGCCAAGGACAGGCTGGACCAGGAAGTCCAAGAACATCGGGGTGCATCTGCAGCCCCAGGAGCCCCCAGCCTCTCTTCCCATCCCTCTGGGTGCCAGACAAGGCTAAGCAGCACCTCCACACCCAGGATTCATCCCTCCCTCCTCAGGGCAAGCTACATCGGCCCCAGTGTCACTGCAAAGCAGAGGACAAGGTGGCCTTTCTCCATCTCATCCCACCATGGCTTTCCAAGGTCTGCACCACCATTCCCATGCCCTGCCAGAAGAGTGTCCAGGTATCAACATGTCAGAGAGAGGGACAGGGCTGGCTGCTGCGCCTGGGGATGGAAAGTGGCCATGATCCATTGGGAATGGGGGAACAGGACAGAGCAAGACCCTGTCACCAACTAACTGGCTTGCACAGGGGTACACACTGAGCTGGCAGCCAAGAGAGGGGTCTGTGAGTCCTGTCCCTCCAGCTCCAGCCCTGGAGCCCAGGGCCGGTGCTGGCAGCTTTCTGCCCCAGACATGAACCCCCAGAGGTGCTTGGCAAGGAGAAGTGAGTTTTCCAAGTCCAAGTCCCAACGCCTGCCCAAGAGCAGCCAGCTGCTTATCTGTTCATCCATCTGCTGCCGCCGGTGCCACCTGTGTGGCAGGGAGGTGGGTAGGTGGGAGCTGCAGAGCGGAGCCAGGAGCAATCCCTGCTCCCCAGCTGCTGCTCCTTCTGCCCCTGCTTCTGCTGGCCCAGCAAGCGCTGCAGCTCCTCCTGGTCCTGGAATGGGTTCCTGCCATAGTCACGGCGGATCCAGGCACGATACTGTGAGGAAAAAGCCAAAACAGACTGTCAGGGTCACCAGGGGCTGAGACATCCCCAGGTAGGGAGCAGGACTGCAGCAGTAGAAAGCAGCAAGAGCCAAGCAATGCCCGCTGCACCCCAGCCCCCCTCAGCAAGGGCCAGGGGATGCCCAGCCACAACCAGCATGCAGGAAAATCCCAGTTTCACAGGAGCCCACACACATTGTACTGCAGATGCAATAACTCCCCACATCTGAGCGCTCCCCACATCCCCAGCCTGGCACGGATGGGCCTGGAGAGCTGGCAGCATCCTTAGCCTCCCACACTGGCTGCAGCCGGGACAGCAGCTTTATTTACTTCTCCTTGCCAAGAAGCCGCTGCTGTTCCTCGTGTGCCTGAATTCCTGTAAGGAAAGCTTCCCAACTCTTTCTCCCACAGGGGCAAGCTGGACTTGCTGTCACGACCAGCACGGCCAAGTTGGCTCTTGCAAGGTGAGGAAGGTTTGTTGTCAGAGCATCTTCCTCAGCACCGGGAGCCTGTGGGGCACCTCTCCTCCCCTCTCCTCACTGAAGTCAGACTGCTCCGGTGGCAGTTTGGAGCATCCAGGTGGCCAGAGGCCAGCTGGCAGCAGGCTGAGGTCTGGAGGTGGTTGAGAAGCAGGAGATGGTCCACAGAAATGCTTCCCGTTACTGTTGAATGAGAAGGAGCCAGACAGCCCCAGATGGCAGCACCCAAGAGAGTGGGCAAGAATGGGCAGCTCTGCCAGGACCTGCCATGCTGGCTGTCCAGTGCTCACAGGGAACAGACAGGGCTTTGCCTTCTCCCTGAGTAGCTGGGACCAGCTGCTCCAGCAAGAGCTTACTGGGGTGAGTGGTAGAAGTACACCCAACAACACCAAACACCTTAAGAAAAGGATGGAGGGACCTGCAGGTGCAAAGGAGGCAGAGAGAGACTGAGCATCAGAGCATCGGAGCCCTGCAATGGAGTAGCACAGGGACAGGCATGGGGTGCAGCTGGGGGAACCAGAGGGACAGGAAAGTAGCCTCCATGAGCTGCCCAGCCTTGGCACCCCCAGGGCAAGGTGCCCTTGCTATGGCTCCGGCTTCCCAGAGCCACGGAGCTCCCAGCAAAGGTTTGGGAAGCAGGACAGCAGGATTGGTAGCTCAGTCCAGTCCTGCCAGATCTGGATGAATCACTACAGAAGAAAGTCTGAGACTGACCCTGGTGGCATCCCCCTCTCCTACAGTCAGGGAAAGTCAGCTCAGGCAGAGGGGATTTCCACTGGGAATGTCTGGATTTCCCAAATCCACTCCCTCAGACAGTGGGACTCACCGCAGCTGCTACACACTTGCTATCTGCAGGCAGGAAGACCCTGGGAGCCAGACCTGTATTCTGTGCTAGAAAACAACCACTGGGAAGCGAGTCCTGAAGGATTTGGGACAGGATCTGGGGCAAGCAACCATGCCAGCTACTCATGGCAGAAACATCCTTCCCATGCAAACCATCCAGTGGGATGAAGCTCCACAGGAAGTCCAGCCTGGCCATCGAGGCTTGGCACCCACCGAGGCCCAGCACTCAACACCCAGGCTGGGAGCTGACACTCCCCATCCAGTGAGGAGGGAAGGAGCAGGCGGGAGTGGGGGAAGCACCCTGCTGCTGCTGCTCCCAGGGACTTCCTTTGAAAGCCAGAGCAAGAAGTGGTTACAGCCCATTTCCTCCAGCACTGACCACTAACCCACTGCCCTCCTCCTCCTCTCTTCCCGTGCCAGGAGCACCCAGCCCATCTGGGATAGCAGCAGAGGGGAAAAGGCAGCCTGGCCATGGTGTGCCAGCACCACGGGGGAGCAGGTCCATCACCAGGATGCCCATCTCTGCCCTCTCTCACATCCACACTGTCTTCTCTGAGCTCACTGACTTCCTTTTCTAACCTTACCCCTCAGCCTGCTGCTGTTCTTGGTCCCTTCCTTCCTTCTTTATCCATCTAGCCCAGATAAGCACCATTTGCCAGCTTGAAACCACAGCTGCACGCTCAAGACGTCCTTCCTGTAGCAAGGAGCTGGCTGGACAGTCCCAGGGAGCATCTTCCCCATTCCAGCCTCCCAGGGTCCCATCTGAGATGCCTGCAATGAAGGAAACTGAGGCACCAAGGCATGCTCCTCACAGGTGTTAACCAACAAGGGATGAGACTTTTCCCCTTGAACAGCCTGCCCAGCCCTTATCCAGGTCTGCTCCCTACACTGTGCTTCCAAACTGCTGCTTGCTAGAATGACAGCTGGGCTAAATGGGGAAATTAAACCCCTGAGGCTCAGGTCATGATACCTTTGGTCCTGCATCCTAATGATACACATGGAAAACCACTCCAAAGCCACCAACGGGAACAATTTGCGACCTCCCACGGCCAAGGTGAGGCAGCGGCTGCTTGTCATGAAGCACAGCACAGGACCCACACGGCATCGGATCCCAGGGGACACGGTGCCTACAGCATCCACCACCCCGCGGGACCCCTGGCCATCCTCCTCGGCTGACCTGCCTGCCAATCCCTTCCTCTGGCAAAGGGGGGAGCTGGGAGCAGCCGGTCAGGCTGCAGCATCCATCCTGCTCCAAATGCAGCTGTGGGTGAGTAATGCCGGAACCCTCCTCGCTCCCAGCCTTTGCCTCCGCGGCCGTGCTGGCAGCAGTCCGCTTATGAAGGGCCATTCCCTCCCCGTTGCTGCCACCGCGGGGAACACACGGGATTTCAAGGAAAAGGCGCAGCTCTTTCTAAATCCCACGGCTCAGGAAAACACATCCAAGCACCCCCACCCTTGGCTCTGCCTTGGGTATTTCAGGGAAATGCTTGCAAAGCCACTGGCAAAACTTTGAAGTGACGGCAGAGCATCTTCTAAGGAAGAGGGAGGAAACCCTGGTGCCTGTTGAACCCAGTCTGGATTTTGGGGAGCAGGAGGAATAACTTGGATGGAGAGAGGGCAGAACAAACCCCACATCACGGTCTGTGCTGGGACGTGGCCAGAACGTGGGAAGGGCTGGGGAGCGCTGGCCTGGCCAGGGGAAGCCCCGCAGGGAATCTCCAACACCACGGGTGTTTTGTAATCCCTTGGAGCATTTTCCACCCTCATCTGCGGGTATTTTTGCAAGCTGGTGATAACGGGGCAGAGCCACATCCCTCATGTGACAGCGCCCGCCCACTACTGCCAGAACCTAGGGAAGGGAACTTGGTGTTGGGGAAGGGGCTGAACTTCGGGCCAGTGTCACATGCTGGCCCTGTCTCTGTCCTGGGAGGAGAGAAATCGCCCTGAAGGGCTCGACATGGTTGGAGAGACCACCAGGTCCCCTCTGCCATGTGCCATGGGGCCATGGCACAATGCTCATGGCTGGAGTGGATGGATGGGGGGGCTTTGCCTCCAGGGATGGAACCAGGTTTAGGGGTGACCTGGGCTGTGAGGTGCCTTGCCCACATCAAGTTGGGGGTTACTTTTTCCTTCCAGAGGTCCATCTGTGTCCCACGTGCAGTTTGGGACCCCTGTCCCAAACCCCTTGGCTGCAGATCCCAGTGCTGGGTGAAGGAGCAGGGTCCAGTGTGGGAGGCTGGAGGACAGCCTGGTGGGAGCTGTGCTGTTACAGGCCTTTCCCTTTGCTTTTGAGGGCTTTCCGGTTCCAAAGGGCAGCTCTGATCTCTGCTCTCCTGGTTGAACGTGCCGCTGTCACTCCCAGCTGCCGGCAGCCAGCTTGGCTCAGCTACATCATCCCTCCCTTGCACAGGATGGGAATCCAGCCAGCCAGAGCTTTTGCTCTCCTAAAATCTGCTGCTCCACGTCATGCTGGGGAGGAAAGAGGAGATTTCTCCACCCACACTTGCTTCTGCCTGTCCCTTCCCTTAAAAGCAGAGGACTTGCTCTCAGAGGAAGCCCTGCTAGATCCAAGAACACACAGACATCCCGACAGTGCTTGCAAGAGCCTTCCTCCCTCTCCTCTCCCCCTTTCAGCCTCCAGCTCCCACTGCACTGCATTCCCGGGAATCAGCCCAGCTCCTTCCTGAGGCTCCCAGGGGACAAGCTGCTCTGCCATCCCTCCCACTGTGTCCTAACTGAACTCTCGAGAAAATAACTGTGGTTTTAAGGTTTGAAAGAGCCTTAAGTGCACTCACATAAACACTTCTTTTTTTTTTTTTTTTAATTTTCTCTTTTTTTTTTTTTTTTTGCATGCAAACCCCCAAATCCCCAGGTAATAAATAACATCCCCAAAAGCCAGCTGGGGCAAACAGCTGGTCATGCAGAGAGCTGCATGCAAAAGAGGCCTGCTTGGCTGCAAACTCCTCCACCAAATATCTAAGGGGACATCAGGGTGGGACGTACCTCCTGTAGCAGGGTCCTCTCATATTCCTGCAGCTGCTGCTGGAAGCCGGAGTTGGGGCTGACGTAGGGTCTCACAGCCTTGGTGGCAGCCAGGCAGCTCTCCCAGCCCAGCTCTGTCACTGTCATCAGATAAGCCACCAGGATGGTGGTGCTGCGGGAGACGCCAGCCAGGCTGGCACGGGGGAGGGAGCAGCGTTATTCCCACTGCAGGGGTTGGTGTGGGACACCCACGGCTTCCCGTGGGCACCCTGCCTTGCTGGGGTGCCAGCAGGGTTCCCTGGGCATGGATTGGGAAGGGGTAAGGAACTCTCTCCCTCTCTCACCACTGTTGGTGGCTCCAAGCAGGTGGCACCACCTTGTCCCACCACTTTGGATGCTCAGGTTGTCAGCACATGGACCACCCGTCCCTGTGGGTCCAGGGAAACCTTCCCCTGTCACCCTCTCGCTGTTCCTTCTTCTCCTCTCCTCCCTCCCCACCACAAGTAATGTTTGAAGTCGAGGACACCTTTTGGGAGCCCATCCCCACCTCCCAGAGGACTGATGGGGCACGAGGAGGTTCCAGCAGCTCTCACCAATGGACGAGGCAGCCTCCCCCACCAAGCCGGCATTCGTGGATGAACTTGATGCTCTCCTTAAAATGCTGCAGCCTGCAAGGATAGAGGCAGGAGGTGAGCAGGGGAGGGCTGTCCATCCCTGCCAGGCACCAAGACATCCTGGAAACTGCCGTTGTGTCACTCCCAAGGACTTCCCACCACCCTGGGGCCACCAGTGTGGGGTGGGAGCGGAGATCCTTCCTCTGCCAGGTGAAGGCAAAGGGGATGATCTTCATCTGCTGGGAAGAAAATGACCTGGGAGATTTCCCAGGGGATTTCTTGCTTCTTGAGGAATCAAGAAAGGATGGTGGTGCCATCAGAAAAAACTGCTCAGGGAGGACCCCAGGGGGACATCCTCTGGGGAAAGGTGTCATCTTATGCACTCTCCTACATCAGCACTCATCCTGAGCCATCACCTAAACCCTAATTCCCAAATAATGCCAAAAACACTTGCTTCCCTCCAAGGGAAAGATGGAAAGATGTCAGCAGGGAAGAAGGCAGGGAGAAGGGTGTCTCTGGAGGTATTTTGCCTGGAGGTCCCCTTTCCACCCATGCAAGGGCATGGAGAAGTGCCCATGCCATGGAGGTAGGGCTGCCAGCAGCAACGCAGTTGTGTCCAGGGATTGGTGTCTGCATTCCCAAAAACATAACCAGCTACTGCTGGCAAGGCAGAGGGAGCACATTCACCCAAACCAGCAAAACAGGGGTTGGAGCCAGGGCTTTCTGACGGAGACCTGGAACACAGGATAACTAACTCCATGGGCACTGATGGAATAGAGGTGGGTGTTTGTGGGAGGGTTACACAGGCTCCTGTGAGACACATCCCCCCTGCTCATCACTGGATGGGATGCTGGAACTGTTGAGCTTCCAAGATCCCACACTGAGCCAGGCATTCTTCTCCTTGGCACGTGTTTCCAACAAATGCTGCCCATCGCTGCTCACCCTCACAGCCACACTGGGCTCTGGGGCAGTTTTGAGGCAGAAAACCTAATTCTGTGGCATTTGTGCTGCTGGTGGCCTCCCTGACCACGCAGCCCTGGGTTTTCCAGGAGAAGAAGAGGATCTGTTTGGCAGCAGCACCTCTGCTCCGGCGCCGGACTTCCTCTGCCTCCGCGTGACGGGGTGGGCGTGTGCCTGCACAGCCTTCCTGATTTCTCCAAAGCCAGGGCATGAGCTACAGCAGAGTTATTCCCACTGTGCCCCTCCCCAAGGGAGCTGGTTTCCCTGTGGGGACAAGGCAGAACCCTCCAAAATCTCCTCCATCCCTGCTAGCCCATGGAAGGGGGTGCTCTTTGCCTCGCCCTGGAAGCGCTGGGCTCAGCTCCTTCTAAGAAACCAGCCAAGGATGAGTTTATTCAGGAATCACAGGGGGTTCTGCTGCCCAGGAAGACGAGAGATGAGGGAGTATCTGACACTGTGTTCATACTGAAAATATTGAGCCTCTCAGCCCTGGAAGGAGATGTCTGTCTACTGCTTCTCATAATCTTCATCCTCCCCCACTGCAGCAGCATTTTTTAAGGAGGCCTTTCCCTGCTTAAAGCTTGTCCCAGGGCATTTCATCTTGTCCTACTTATCTTCGCAAGCAGGCAGCATCCCCCAGGGCCTGCAGGTGCTGCTCACACAGCTCCAGGCTCTCCAGATCCCAATCCTCCTCTTCAGAACCTTGATAGGACCAACAGGAAGGTCCCTTCCTTGAAAACACATGATTCTGGTGCCTCCAGCCCACTCCATGTGTGCAGCACCCTCTCCCAACCCATCCCACAGGGAGGGCAGTGAGCATTTCAGCCACCCCATCCATCCTCACACACTCCACGGGGTGTTTTCCCCCAGGCAGCCAGCCAGAGGAAAACTCCCCCTGTGCTTTTCCAGCCTTAAAGCGTGGGATCGGGCTCCTGAGCTCCTAAGTCACAAGCATCTCCTCTGCAGGACACAAGTTCACCAGGATTGTGAAATCCAAGGCATAAACTGACATGCAGAAAATAGTTCCTTGAACAAGTCTTCCTTCCGGCAGCCAGCCTTATCTTATTTTTTTTTTCCTTTTTTTTTATTTTTCCTTTTGTAGACATGCCAGAAATGCCAAGAAATGAGCAAAGAGTAAAAAAAAATAACAACCAAAAAACCCAGTTCTTGCTGAGGCAGGGTTTTCTCATAAAGCTTCTCTTTCCGCTCAGCGGGAGCATGAGCAAGCAGAATCCCACCCCCGGGCATGGCTGCTCCCAAGGATGCTGGAAAAACCAGCACCTCCACAAACAGGGCTCACCCTGGTCCCTCTGCATCAAGTTTTGATGCTTTTTAGGATCTGATGTGACAGAAAAATCCCTTGGAGTTGCCCATTTGCTGGTTGAAATGGATGATTTATGGGTGCCCGTTGCCCAAAGCAGCAGCAGAATGGTGCCTCCCCCCAGTACCAGCATCCCACGAAATCCTGGAGCTCCCTTCCAGCACCTCTCTTCAGCTTCATCTCAAAAGCATCACTGCAAGAGTTATAATTATCTGTGTTTTATGTGGTGAAAAACCACGTTTTTTTAATAAACACTTTCTTTATCTTTCCAAAGAAAATAAATCATTGTCTTTCTAACACTCCAATTTTCAACCCTGCACAGTAGAATAATTCTGAAACTTGATGGAAAACTAAAATGCCCTAAAATGCTATTTTCCCCTGGGAATACACTCCAGATTATGTAAAGCTCAGGAATGATACAGAATGTCACAGTATGAATGGACTAAACCTTTCTCCTGCAGCATCTGAACTTCTATTGACTGACAACCAGCAGCACACAATCTGGGAGGCAAAAGGATGGGAAACAACTTACAGGTTTTGACTGGATGAATCTGAGGCCGAGATACACAGATAGGTCATGTCCTGCAATACAAAGATGGTCACAGTAGTGAAACACCTCCAAGAAACATGAAATCCCCCATTCTTTTCTTTTCTCTCCTCCCAGCTGACCCTCAGGGGAGGGGAAAGCTGAAAACCACTTTTGGGTACCATCACCCTGCTCCACTCTGATGGGTGGGTGCATCCATCCCATCCAACAGGCTATTTCTTCCTGTTTCATCCCAGAGGGCAGGCCAGGCTGTGGAGGGCCACTACAATGCTCAGGAGCACCCCAAAACAGAGCCAGCCCCTTCCCAGGGCCGTGAGACCCCCAGGAAGACATGTGTGAACACGTATTGACGAAGCTGCTCTCATCAATGAGTTATTTCCTCCCTGTCCTTTTAATCCACCATAAATCATCTGCTTCATGCTGGTCTAGGTCAGATCACTTTCCTCTCCTTAAAACATCACTTCCTCGATCCTCCCTGTTCTAAGCTAAAATTAGATTCTTTTTCATCTGAGGGGTTGCAGGGTTTTTTTGTCCTTTCTTAGCTGAATGTGTGGAAATCCTGCAGCCAGAGCACCAGGGATTGCCCCATTTCCAGCAGGTCGCAGCTGAAAGGTCCTCCCTGGTTGATGCAGCCCAATCCCATGGACCATCCTCCAGCCCAGGAATCAGAAGGCTGGGAAAAGTGGATTATTTAAGGAGGGAAGGGTCAGAGAGGGGTGGGCATGGGGATAATTCTGTGCTGGAAAGACCCATGTTGCAAAGACTGATGCAAACTTTCCTGTGCACCACCTCTCCATCCCATCCATGGCTCCACGCCATTCCCGGCGCCAACCCGACCTCCCCGCAGCGAGAAGAGCCACCCCAATGGCAAAGCCACTGTGCCAAGCAGCGGAGCAACCAAACCAACCCCAATCCTCCCCCAAAAACCCTGACCCACACACCAATCCAGGATTAACTGCTGGGCTCCCGGCGGCTTCCCCTTCCCCACGGGGCTGGGTGTCCCCATCCCACCTCGGGGAGCCGGGCCACGCATGGGAACGGTGCTGGGGTTTGCGGTTCCCGGCCCGGGGCCGTGATTGACACGTTGCTCAACCCACCATGCCTTTCCGGTTCCCCTTTCCGCACCCCCGCGGCTCTGCTCCGTGTTGTAAGCTCGTTGTAAGCTCCCCGTGTGGTTTGCTCCCCGTCTGGCCGTGCCCCGGGCTCAGCAGCCCCAGCTGCTGCCCCTTCCCCAGCCACCAGCCGTTTCTCTGCCACCTCCTCCTTCCTTCTCGCTCTCCCCCCTCCACGTTACCCAATCCCTCAGCAGGGAAAAGGCTCCAGCTGGGGTTTTGCTGGGGCTCCCTCCCCGCCATGGACCCAAAAGGATGAGGGGTCTTGCCAATCCCCTTTGCTTTTTTCAGCATCCCAGGATTTGGGAGATGGCAGCAGGTCCAACACTGGCGTGAAGAGCCCCCGGCACAAGAAAAATGTGGACCTGTTGGAGTGGGTCCAGAGGAGGCCACGGAGATGCTCTGAGGGCTGGAGCACCTCTGCTCTGGAGACAGGCTGGGAGAGCTGGGGCCGTTCAGCCTGGAGAGGAGAAGGCTCCAGGGAGACCTTAAAGCCCCTTCCAGTGCCTAAAGGGGCTCCAAGAGAGCTGGAGAGGGACTTTGGACAAGGGCCTGAAGAGACAGGACAAGGGAGAACGGCTTCACACTGGAAGAGGGCAGGGTTAGATGGGATATTAGGGAATGATCCTTCCCTGTGAGGGTGGTCAGGCCCTGGCACAGGTTGCCCAGAGAAGCTGTGGCTGCCCCATCCCTGGAAGTGTCCAAGGCCAGGTTGGACAGGGCTTGGAGCAACCTGATCTGGTGGTAGGTGTTCCAGCCCATGGCAGGGGGTGGAACAAGATGCACTTTAAAGTCCTTTCCCACCCAAAGCAGTCCATGATTCTATGATACGATGATCTATAGGATTTTCCCCCTCCCCTCATGGCTGTGCCCACCCTGTTATCCATCTCTGCCCTCCCCACCAGGCATCCAGCACCCCGTGGCCATGCTCCTCACACACCCCTGTGAGCCAAACCCCAAGGGGCTGCTCCCAGTTCGTGGGACCGTCCAGGCAGGATTTGTGCACGAGAGACCTTCCCTGCACCTCTGGCTTCGACCCACGGGCAGCTCCCTCCTGCCTCAGTTTCCCAGCTGACATCCCGGGGGGCCGCAGTGCTGTGGGGTCAGCGGTAAAGGAGGTTCTGGATCCTGGGGGATGTCCCGAGCTCCGCCGCGTGTCCCCCCCCGCCCGCCGGGGCTCCATCCGCGGGGCACCGCCGCCCTCTCGTGGGGACCCCCCGGCAGCGCCGGGCACACGCGGGACCGGCCCCGCAGCGCCGCGGGTCCCACCCGCGCCCCAAAAACACCGAGTGGTGCCTGTGACCCCAAAACACCCCGCTCTCCCCCTCCCCAAAGCGAGCGCCGAGCCCCTTTGGGTGCAACTCATCGGTGCACGGTGCAAAGTGGTGCAAATCCAGCGTTGCTTCTCCCTGCCCTGTCCCACACCAGGAGAAGCCCATGGGTGTACCATCTGCTGCACCTTCCCAGCCCGTGCTCCTCCAGGGTGGTCCCCCAGCACCCCCACTCACCTCCAGCACGGGCTTGGCGCCGTTGTGGACAGAGAGGATGTGGGTCACGCCATTCCTCAGCAGGTTTTCATGGTCCTCGGAATCTGGAAGCAGGAGCCACATGGGAATCACCTGCCCTCCTGGGAGACCTGCTGGACCACGCACCCACCAACAACCCACACCCATCACTCCCAGCCCCCTGACTTCTTCTCATCCCACAAGCTGCACGGAAGGAGACTGGGCACCTCCTTCCAAGCAAAATCCCCCTTGGAAGTGCTGGGTACTCAGCAGGCTCCTAAAGCCACGCCCAAAAACCAGAAATTGTACTGATAACTTGGAAAAGGCTGTGGTGTCCTCGCTGCTGAGGAGGTTTCCAGCCATGCCAAAGACTTCCCGGTGTTCCAGCATGGCTAGTGACAGCAGCTCCCCATGGACATCCCTTTCTTGGGCTAAAGTTACATTGGACACTTGCAATTGAGATAGAGATTTGGGGGTGCTTTGGATCTCTGGAAGACACTGAGGAGCAGACACAGGGAGCCCCCAAGAAGAGGGAATCCTCCAGCCCTGCCAGCTAACCCAGGGATCCCACAGCACTGCAGGGGTGGAGCAGGGAAAGGCACTTACCACGGATATTCCCAAGGTAGAGGCCTGTGACAACCTGGGAGGTGACAAAAAGGAGAGAGAGTTCAGAAAGCACAGGGTGCATCCAACGTGGTGGGAGCATCAAGCTGCACATGTGGTTCCAGCAGGACCACAAAATCTGGCACCAAACTCCTCAGGCCACGACAAACCAAGCAGCTAAACTATGAAGCACCTTAATTAACAACTCAAAACACCAACCCAAAGCCCTCCAGGAGTGCAGAGCTTAGGAAAACTCAGCACAGAAACAGAAGGGACTTGGATGTGCTCCTATAGTTTCAAAGGTTGCATCTGCCAGCTGGGGATAGATGGGCACAGGCTATTTATAACACTTCTCTGGCCAGGATGTTGCAGTAAGAGACACCAAGGCTGCAAATTGGGTCTCCAGCTTGCCTCTGTGGGGTTATGAAGGAGAAAAAGGGGCAGCTCAGGGTATTTATGGGGTGTAAGAACCCACAAGAGTGTTTTTCAGAGGGACAAAAAAGAGAGAGCTGGACTTGCTGGGGCCCATCCGGCAGAAAACCCCTGGTTTGAGAAGTTTTAGGAAAGGTTTTCAGCGGCACTGGGTCACATCCAGTGCAGCTATACCATTCAGCTGAATCCCAGCCTGCTCCTGGGTGCAAACAGCTGGATCCAGCACAACTTGTACAGCACCAGCTGTTATCACTAGAAAGGAGACGCCAAGACCTGCATATTATCATGTCCATGGGATCCTACGAAAGTGTCTGCACCAATAGCCCCTGGCAGCAAGAGCCCAGGATCCCCAAGAGGGTTTGGTAGCACCAGGGGGGGAGCTGTAAAAGCTACTTTGCCAGTCAGGCTGCGTCTGCAGGGGGTGAAACCCAGGTCTAAATCACACCAGAGCCATGCAGAGTTTGCCCTGATTTGATCTTTCTGTTGTTGTCCCAGAGTCTAATTTTAAACTGGGGAATGCACATACCAAGAAGTTATTTCAGGATACCAACAGAAACTGATCCTCTCTGCCAGCCCTGGAGGAACAGGCAGCAGTGAAACCCCACTTCCCACACCGCTGCTGGGCACAGACACATCCTGGGGGTGGTATGGGGGGAATTTCCCTGTAGGGACCCCCCTGTCAGCCCTAATAATGAGAATGCCATGGCTTTAACTCCCAAGGGGTGAGCATTTAACACCAGCTGTCAACTCTCCTGACACCTGCAGACACTTTGCTCCTCACCTCTGATACAAACCTTAGATATAAATCATTATTTGTTTTCTCAATTTCCTTTCTTAAGTACTTGGAGTTTCAAAGGGGAGTGAGAAAGGGACGATGCAAATAGTTGTACTTATGGAATCGTGGTGGCCTGGGAAGAGTATCCACAGGCTGCAGGAGAAGAGGACGTGCTGGCCAGCATCCCACTGCCCCTGGTACCTTGCTCATTCCACTCCCCATGGGCTTTCTGTCCCCAGGATCTGGATTCAGGTGGTTTCTTGGTCTCCAAGGCTACCTGAAAATAAACACCCAAAAATCCCAGACAGGATGGTGAGATCTGACCTCTCCTCTGGTGCGTCCCTCTGCCAAGAGCAGGAGGAAGGGGAACATGTACCAGGAGGGGAACATGCAGAGCCCTGGCAAACTCAGCTCACCTTCAGGCTGCTCCGGCTGGTCCTGCCACTGCACTGGCAAAGGAAACACAGGAGTGGTTGGTGCCGGGCAGGGGAGGGTGAAATAAGGATCCGGGGCCGTGGTGAGGCTCAGATTTCCCTCCCAGGGTCCCTGGAGCTTCCACAGCCTTTTGGGAAGGACAGTCTTGGGAGGCACAACTCCCTGGCCCCAGCAATGCTGCCCGGTATTCCCTCTGGGATGCTGCATGCTGGCACAAGCCCTGCATTCAGCGGGATTTCTCTTCCAGTCATGCTGATTGCTCCCGGTCCCAGGGATGAGCAGAATTCAGAACAGGGCCTGGAAAACCAGAGCGTGGCACAAGCAACATGCAGCCGATGGAACACTGAGGATGAGCCCATCTTCCCTTCCCTCTGGGAACAGGGATGAGAGGAGCTGTAAAACAATGCTGCAACTCCAGCGTATGCTTCCAAACATCCATTTTCCAGGCAGGAACACCTGGCAGCTCACTGTCCCCCTCCCACATCCGTGCCACCAGCCTGCCAGAGGCAGGAGCTGTGTGGAGAGCAGGGAAGAGCAAATCACAGGCACAGCAAACACACCCCCAGTAATCACCAGCCTGGGATTCTGTCAGTCTCAGACCATCCTTCTCAGCACCCTGGAGGCAAATTTATCACTTCAGGGATTTTTCAGATGCAGGAAAGAGAGGTCACTGCTTAACTCTAACCAATTTATCTCACCTTAAAACCCTTCCCCAAATTTCTGAGTGGAAGGAAAAGGCTGGCCAAGAAGTGGCTGAGATCCCACATAGCTCCTAAACACATTCACGGACTTGAAACCACATCAGGTTTCCTGATGGATGTTTCCTGTCATGGGGAAAAGAGCAAAGTGAAGGCAAACCTTGCTTTAGTCTTCAGAGGGGCATTTTTAAACCAAAAATCTGCACAATCCAGGGGGCCCATCTCAGCCGAAGGGAGAAATTTGGCAGCAGCTTTCTTAGCCCTGAAAACATCAAGACAGGAACCAGACTCTGCTCAGACCACTCTGAGGTGCTCCCACCCCAATAAACACATCCAGAGACCAGTAAGAGGCAACTCTCAAGTTAACCAGACGTTTATTAGCATTTCTGTAGGTGGAGAGGGTGTTCCAGTACACAAGCAACGAGGTCACGCACAGGTGATGGAATCGTTTCATATTCAAGCAGAGCAGGTTCCACTGAGTTGCTTTATTTCTTCCATTCGTTCTTGTCAAAATCCCACTGGGATGAGATGCCCTCCACGGGGTTAACCCTCATGTCCAACATCCTCTTGGTCTGAGCCGACAGCCACTCCTCGGAGAAGGTGTGCGGGATGGGGCCGTACACTGCGGGGTGGGATTGCATGGAATCATATTGTGATGCCAAATCAGCAAGTTGGGAACTGAGGGACAAGTGTCACTAACAAAAAGCTTTTTTCCCCTGAAGTCATCCCACCAGAGCAGGTTGCCCAGAGAAGCTGTGGGTGCCCCATCCCTGGAAGTGTCCAAGGCCAGGCTGGACAGAGTTTGGAGCTACCTGGTCCAGTGGAAGGCCCACGGCAGGGGGTGGAACTGGATGAGCTTTATGGTCCCTCCCAAGCGAAACCATTCTATGATTTTCTTATCTGTTCAAACCTACACTCCCTACATCCAGTTTCTGATGCATCCAGCTCAGACCGCATTCCCACATGGATTCTCTAGCAGTTTCCTTCATCAGTAAAGGCTTGTACCAAGATAACAGCTTCCTGCTTTCCTTTTCTTGGGAGCCTCAAGGCAGGGAGCAGCTCATTTAACTGCTGCTCTGCCTCACAGCAGCTGGAGGCTCCCTTGAGGTCGGATCCTGAGCTGGGAAAGCAGCCAAACATGGCAGGAGCCCAAATGTTCACTACCAAGGCAGCAATAAGCTTTTCCGACAGCAGGGAGGGGAAGCTCTGGGATCAGGAGTATCACCACTCATTCCCCTCCATTTCCTCTCCTCCCAAAGCTCCACTACCCTTTCACAACACAGGTTCTTGAATATTTATGCCACAAACCCACTGACTCCATAAACTTACAACTCCAGGACAGAGTTTTCAGGGACTTACAAACAGTTCCTGCTGGGAGGTCACAGCTAGGGCTCTTCCACACACCATCCTGACCCCATGGAAAAGCTTATGGGAACTCTCTAATATCCCATTAGGGATCATAAACTGATCCTGCTCTCCACTGAAGGGTTACTTACTGAAGTGCTTCTGCCAGATGAGGATGACGCCGGTGAGGCCAAGGAAGAACAACACTCCACCCAGGACAGTCTTCCACTCGTTTGTTACTTTGTTCATCTCTGCGTAGGTCTCGTTGAATTTCATACGGTACACTGCCAAAAAAAGCCACAAAATCATCTCTTGTAACTTTTCCTGTGACTTGCAGGTGACAGGGGACTCTCCAGAGGGAGGTGACCAAGGCCTGAGGCTGCTCAAAAGGGAATCAGCTGCCCTCTCCCACACCAAGACGTCCCCACCTGTTCCACCCTCACATCAATGTCAAGTCTTCATTTTATAGATTATCATAAAGCTGTGCAAAAGTTGCAGAATAGACCTGAAAGGAGGAGGAATTGAGTTCTCCTTCCTCCCTGCCAATTCCCAGTTATCCCAGAACTTCCTAGCACAAATTATTCCAACACGAATGTTTCTATCTCAAAAAGCTTCCCAGCTCTGCCACTAAGGATTTTAAAATCCAAAGCAACACAAGATTTGGAGAGTGCTTAGGAACATCTGAGCAGTTCCTCAAAGGGTTTTAAACCTTTGACACCCGTTCCTTGGCCAGGTTCCCACTTCATACCACGGCAGCAGTTAGAAAAAAATGAGGCAGTTTTATTTGCAAGTCAAAACACCCAGTCAGGGCTTTAATTAGCTGGAATTTGGTTAATGTAAAAGTCAGTAGTCATTAACATTCAAATACACATCACAGCTGAGGGGCTACCTTTCCTCAGCTGGACTAACAATGGCATTTTGTAATGAAGAGATTTTTGTCTGGCTTGTTGAAAGCAGATGGGAATCAGGAAACAAATACAATTACTGTTTGTTTTCTGGAAGAGGAAGGAATTGCTGGATGTGACCTCAGGTCCAGAACAGACATCACAGCAGGTCTATTTCACATTCTGAAACAGGACCAAGAACACGATTAGAGGGATGAAGCACCTCTCCTGCAAGGAAAGGCTCAGAGAACTGGGATTGTTCAGCATGGAAGAGAAGGCTTAGGGGTGACCTAACTGTGGCTTTCCAGTGCCTGAAGGGACTACAAGAAACATGGAGAGGGACTTTGGACAAAGGCCTGGAGGGACAAGACAAAGGGGAATGGCTTCCCACTGGAAGAGGGCAGGGTTAGATGGGAAACTGGGAGAAATTCTTCCCTGTGAGGGTGGGGAGGCCCTGGCACAGGTTGCCCAGAGCAGCTGTGGCTGCCCCATCCCTGGAAGTGTCCAAGGCCAGGCTAGACAGGGCTTGGAGCAACCTGGTCTAGCGGAAGGTGTTCCTGCCCGTGGCAGGGGGTGGAACAAGATGAGCTTTAAGGTCCCTTCCAGCCCAAACCATTCCATGATTCCACGACAGTGAACATGCAGCAGAGGAGATCGTGCCATTGCCACTGTCAGGTCACTGAAAGCCCCCCAAACCTACGTTCCACTTTCTCATCGATGGACAGGGCGGTCCACGAGGCCTTCTCCTTCTCCTTCAGCGCCTTCTGCTGCGCTGAGAGGTCCCTCACGAAGGCCACCTCAGGCAGGGGCACGTCCCGACGGTCCACATAGGCTGGGAGGGTGTAATCCTCTGCTTTCACAACGCCAGCTGGAGAGGGGGGGAGAGAAGAGACACCAATCAAACTCCTGCACAAACATCTCCTACAGCACAAAAACCCAACAGCTCAGTCAAAAAGGTGAGGCCGGTTAAGGAATCCAGGAGGGAAGAGATCTCCAGGTGAAGCATTTAAAACAGGAGCTATTTTAAGAGCACAAGAACAGAATTCCAGACTGCTTTGGGTTGGAAGGGACCCCAAAGCTCATCCAGTTCCAAACCCCTGCCATGGGCAGGAACACCTTCCACTAGACCAGATTGCTCCAAGCCCCATCCAACCTGGCCTGGAACACTTCCAGGGATGGGGCAGCCACAGCTTCTCTGGGCAACCTGTGCCAGGGCCTCACCACCCTCCCAGGGAAGGATTCCTTCCCAGTATCTCATCTAACATCAGGAGGAATTTCGTCCTGGAAAGGATGGTCAGGCATTGGCAGGGGCTGCCCAGAGGAGCTGGTGGAGCCTCCATCCCTGGAGGTGTCCAAGGAAGGACTGGACGTGGCTCTCAGTGCTCTGGGCTGGGTGACAAGGCGTGGATCGGGCACAGGTTGGAACCGATGATCCCAGAGCTCTTTTCCACCCTCAGTGATTCCTTGATTCCATGATTCCTGCTGCCTCCCCAGCAGCACCTCTGCACTGCCAGCAGTGGCACTGCCCACTCCCATCCCCTGTTCCAGCCTCCCCAGTCCTGCCTTCCCCAGGCCCCCAGGGCAGTGTTTGTGCCCCTGCTCTGCAGGACTGGGTGTGCTGCCCTCACCACCCCCAGGGCAGCGTCACCCACCGTGTCCATGAGCTCTCAGGCACAGGGAGGTGCAGATGGATCTCCTCCCAACGAGGCTGAAGGCTCTGGAAGCCAGCATCCTGCAGAAGGAACAGCACCAAGTCAGGCAGGGACAGGGCAATGGACCAAGAGGAAACAGCAACGTTTTCCAATAGTTTATATATAAAAAAACCAGCCAGCCTAGAGGCTTCCTGCCCCTTCTTCAAAGGGCAGCACAGCACTCCATGGTTTTCAAGGACATTCCCCTGCTACAAGACGAGCCTTTCCCTCCCTGTTGCTTCCCAGAGCCTCCTGCACTCAAACCCGAAGCCATTCCCTTGTTTTCAGGGATATTCCCCCACATAATTTACTTGGATGAGTCTTTCTCCCCCTGCACTCGAACCCAAGGACACTCCGCAGTCCAAACCACCCTTCTAAGACACTTTAATTCCCAAACAAGCCGTTCCTGGGCAGACGCCAGGAGCCACAAGCGAGCCGAGCCCGAGCACATCCCACACTCGCTGCGGCAATCCCTGATCAGGGAGCGATCCCGGCACATCCCCGGGCAGGGCGGGCGCAGAGATAGCGGATCCCGCACCCACGCGGTGCTCGCGTTCCCCCCGCGGCCCCAGCCCAGCCCAAACCCCCCCAAGCCCCCAGGAGGCCCCGCCGCCCGCCCTGACCTTGCCCCGCCCCAGTGCCACCTCAGCCCCGCCCGACCTGCGGCGACACCGGCGATTTGACCCCGCACCGACACGCTGAGCCCCCGCGGCGGCGGCGGCCGCAGCGCTCTCCCCTCACACCGCCCCGCCGGCAGCTCCCCGCAAACCGCGCCCGCCCTCCCGCTGGCCCGGGTGCGGATGGGGATGGCGGTGGGGGGGTACCCTGCACCCTCCCAGCCCGTTCCCAGCCCGTTCCCACCCCTCTCCCGGCCCGGCCCGGCCCGGCCCGGCCCCACGACCTGCCGACCGTCCTCTACCGCGGGCGGGACCGGAACGAGCCGCGGCCGGAAGCGCGGGGCACGCCGGGAAGCCGGGCGGAGCGGGAGCCGGGACGGAGCGGCCGCGCGCGGGGGCCGACGGGATGCGGGCGGACCGCCCGTGGAGGTTTAGCGCGGAATCCCAGGATCCATCCCATCGTCGCTGAGGGTGGGAAAGGGCTCCGGGATCGCTGAGCCCAACCTGTGCCTGATCCCCGCCTTGTCACCCAGCCCAGAGCACTGAGTGCCGCGTCCAGGCGTTCCTTGGACACCTCCAGGGATGGGGACTCCACCACCTCCCTGGGCAGCCCCTTCCAAGGCCTGACAGGCCTTTCCATGAAGAAATTCCTCCTGATGCCCAACCTGAACCTCCCCTGGCACAGCTGGAGGCCGTTTCCCCGCATCCTGTCCCTTGTTCCCTGGGAGCAGAGCCCGACTCCCACCTGGCTCCCCCCTCCTGTCAGGGAGGTGGAGAGAGAAGGTCCCCCCTGAGCCTCCTTTTCTCCAGGCTCAGCCCCCCCAGCTCCCTCAGCTGCTCCTGGTGGTCCAGACCCTTCCCCAGCTCCGTTCCCTTCCCTGGACACGCTCCAGCCCCTCAGCGTCTGTCCTGGAGGGGCTCAGAACTGGACACAGAATTCCCGGTGTGGAATTCCCCCCACCGCCCAGCACGGGGGGAGACAGTCCCTGCCCTGGCCCTGTGTCCACCCTGGGGATGGAACAGCCCGGGTGTCACCGCTCCGTGCCCACCTGGGCACACCTGGGCACCCCTGGGCACACCTGGGCACACCTGTGCTCATGCCCAGCCGCCGTAACCAGCACCCGCAGCTCCTTTTCCCCCGCATTTCCCACCGCCCTGCCCGGCCCGGGCTGTGTCCACGCTGACCCTCACGGGGACCGGAGCCGCGTCCCGCACCCCAAACCCCCCGTCCCTCCCGCGTCCCCCCGTGCGCCGGAACGGCCACAATCCGCCCCAAAATCGCTGTCGTAAGAGCCGGCGGTGCTTGGCGGCGCTTTGCCGACACTCGGCGGCGCTCGGGGGCGGGCGGGGAGCGGCGTGGCCGGGCCGGGCCGGGCCGGGCCGGGGCAGGTCCCGGGGCGGGTCCCGCTGCCGGGGCAGGGTCGCGGCAGGATGAAGCTGACCACCCAGGCGTACTGCAAGATGGTCCTGCACGGCGCCAAGTACCCGCACTGCGCCGTGAACGGGCTGCTGGTGGCCGAGCGCCCGCCGGCCCCGCGGCCGCCGCAGCCCGCGCTGTTCGTGGATTGCATCCCGCTCTTCCACGGCACGCTGGCGCTCGCCCCCATGCTGGAGGTGGCCCTGACCCTGGTGAGGTGGTGCCGCAGCGGCGGGGGAGGGTTTGGGGAGGGGTCCCTGGGATGGAGGGGTGATGGGGAGGCAGTGCCCGAATTCCGGGTGTTCGCGCTTGGAATGCCCGGAGCTCCGGCAGCGGAGGGGTGTGGAGCTGCTGGAGCGAGCCCAGAGGAGGCCACGGGGATGCTCCGAGGGCTGGAACCCCTCTGCTCTGTTTCCAGGCTGGGAGGGCTGGGGCTGTTCAGCCTGGAGGAGACTCCAGGGAGACCTCAGAGCCCCTTCCAGTGCCTAAAGGGGCCCCAAGAGAGCTGGAGAGGGACTTTGGACAAGGCCTGGAGGGACAGGATAAGGGGGAATGGCTTCCCACTGCCAGAGGGCAGGGTTAGATGGGATATTGGGAAGAAATTCTTCCCTGTGAGGGTGGTGAGGGCCTGGCACAGGTTGTCCAGAGAAGCTGTGGCTGCCCCATCCCTGGAAGTGTTCCAGGCCAGGTTGGATGGGGCTTGGAGCAACCTGGGATAGTGGAAGGTGCCCCTACCCATGGCAAGGAGTGGAAACCGATCATCATTTAGATCTTTTCCAACCCAAACCACTCCACGATTCCATGATTATGAGTAGGAGAAAATCCGTCCTATTTTAACATCTGTAAAACTTAACTAATTTTTGATTCCTCCAGATTCATTGGTTTTAATGTTCCCCTCGCTTTGTATCTCTTTTTCACCCAAAAAATATTTATTTGTAAATAAATTCAGTTATTTGTAAATAAATTCAGTTATTTGCAACTGAATTCTAGTTATTTGTAACTAAATTCCAGTTTTGTCCAGCTGAGATGATGCCATGGGAATGCTGACATCTTTCTGAAACCTGGAAATGATGAAATGAAGCCAGAGCAGCTGATTCTGAGACATGACCATTCACTTTTGCCATGAAACACACAAAATTTCTCATTTAAAATATATTTACAGCAGTGTAACAGTGTGGGAGGGGCACAGCACTGTGTGCTGCTGGTGTCATCACTTTCTGAGTATAATTTTCTTCGTGTTATTCCTCGGGAAAATGGAATAATCCTGTTTATAATTGCCTTAATGTAGGCAGATCTTGATTTTTTCACCCTTTAGAGTGGCAGTAACTTGTTTTTCCTCTGTGAATAAGTGGAAGCAGCTAGTAAAGTGTAGAATAATGAATATAAAGTTTGTGTAGGGTTTTCATTAAATTAGGATTAAATGCCTTTCTGCAGGGTTTGTGGCAGTGAATTTTTGTAAGCTTTTGGCCTTCAGTGTATTTTTCTCGTGTAGATCTTGCTGCAGGATCAGATTATTAGGAAACAAATCCTGTTTCTTGTGACATCTGAAAGGTCTTGCCACATCTACAGCAAGAAAACTGTTCTGGAACCAAAGAAATGGTATCATTTTGTTTACTTACTCTCAGTTTTTGGTACAGAAAGGTAAAGATTGGGAATCCCTGGCATTTCCCACATCAGTTAAGACTGATGTGTGGTTCACAGCCACGTTTGTTGCCTCCTGTGATCCTTGGCAGCTTCAGAATGCAGGTTTGACAAGGGCCCAGGGCCCTTTGCTCCTGTTCTGGGTTTAAACAAAGGCAAAGGTGTCAATAAACACTGTCAGAGCAGTTATGAAAATTGGATTTTATCGTGGTAAGGTTTGAAAGGAGGCACTTGGTATCTTCTGTACAACCTAAGATACCTACTTGGTATCTTCAGTAACCTGTGGTTACTGAATAAATCAGTGAGATAACTCACTGCAGCAAAACACCTCTGTTTCTAAAGGATTTCATGGCTTTGACAGGATTTTATGGGATCTGTTTCTCTTCCAGTTCAGTTATTGCTGATTCTTCGTCAAGCCTGTGGCCTGGTCATACGTGGGAGGGTTTTCCAGAACCGGCCCCACAAGTTTCACCTCCTTTTCTCTGACCTGAGTCATCCCAGAATGATAAATGGGAGCAATAATGCCCAGATTTAATCTGAAAAGAGAGGATTCACTTCCAAATGGGTTTGTCCTTGTGGTGACTCCTAAAATGTACAGGGCATCAACAAAACCGATATAAATAAACAAACATGAAGCTGTGTCAGGGGAGGTTTAGGTTGGATATCAGGGAAAGGTTCTTCCCCCAGAGGGTGGTCAGGCACTGACCAGGCTCCCAAGGGCAGTAGTCACGGCCCCAAGGCTGCCAGAGCTCAAGGAGCGTTTGGACAACGCTCTCAGGGACGTGGTGGGATTTTGGGGTGTCCTGTGCAAGGCCAGAAGTTGGATTCATCCTTGAAGGTCCCTCCCAACTCAGGATATTCTGTGATTGCAGCAGGGCTGGGGGTTTGTAGCTCCGGAGACGTGCGTTTAATTTGCACTTTGGCACTTTGGGATCCCTTTCGAAAGCAGAGTCATTAAGAAAAAGTGAATTAAGTTTCACGTGGGGTTTCTTTGTGCCTTTGAATTTCTGAGGTAATTGATGTGGTTTTGCAACCACATCTCAAAAAAAAAAAAACCACCAGAAACCAAGGAGCACTTCCCTCTCACCCCTGACCTGGAACAATGCTCAGGTGGCAGCAGGTCCTTCTCCTCCTCTTCCTTCTCCTCCTCTTCCCAGGGCTCTTTCAAATCCCCAGGCACCTGCAGCAAAGCAGAACACAGGCCCCTGTGGATTTTTCCAGGGTGACAAGCTCCATATGGAAGCGAGATCCCCTTTGTCTCCAGTCACTTGCCCTTGGCTGGTCTGGACGTGACTAAAAATATCAGGAGCTAATTGATGCTGAGGAAACCTGTAGTGACAGTGGTTAGAGAGAGTTTGGAAATTGCAGCTGGAAACAGCTTGCATTCCTAAAAGATTTTTTTTTCCCTTTTTTTTTTTAATACAGAAGCAATTTTTAATTGCTACTTAAGGAACTGAGAACTCTAAAATCATTCTCTCATTTCTTTTCCTTTTAAGACAGTTTTTGGTACAGAACAAAAATGCATTTTAAACCAAGTTTTTTAATTTTTAAATTGATGGACTTTTTTTATTATTATTATTATTAATTTTAGTGTCTGGCTTTGTGCTCTAATGCCAAGCTTTCAAGCCACTAACAATTAAAACCTGAGTCCTAAGCCCTTGAAATGGGTTTGTAATTGAAACAGCAGTTGGCCCTCAGCTCTAGCAGGGCTACACAGCCTCATTTTTTTATCACTTAAATCCATGTCATCCTTTGGATTATTCACATGGCTGGTTTGTTTGTTTGTTTATGCAGTCTAATACTATAATTATTGCTGAAAATGAGATTGATTTGACTTCCAGGATGCGACAGGTCAGCAGCAGATGTATTTTTGGACTCCATTTTAATAGAGCTGTGGAGGGTTTTTTGAGGCCGTGCTCTCCAGGGACTGCAAAGGAAAATTCGAGCTGCTCTCTCCACTTCTGTCTTTCAGGGCTCTGTATTCTGCTGACTTGATATCCTCAGTTCTGAGGAGAAACATCATATATGTAGAGAGAGAGATATTTTCAAAGCAGGACAGACTCAGCAGGAGGATTTCAGGTCCAGTTTAAAACAGGAAGAACAGCAGCGTTGAAACTCACTTGAAAAGAAACAACCAACAACAAAACTGCTTCAACTTTTGTGTTTCTGTAAATCAGAAGTCGTGTAAATTGCATGCAGAAAAATACATATGTTTAAGCTTTTCCATACAGATGTTAAATTAGGAAGAACTCTCAAAGGAAAACTATTTTATCTCAAAAGCTTTTTTGTGACAGAGCGGGTTGAAAAAGTGGGAAGTGGGACAAATTTCTGCCTCACATTTACCTTTCACCTCAAGCTTTATTTTCTAATGAAGGCCAAAAATACTTGCATTTTGACCTAGAAATGTTGCGTTGGAAGTAAAATGCACAAGCTCTTTCAGAAATGACAAGGAAATCACACTTCCATGCTGTGATCATGCTCTGAAGTCTGTGTGTCAGGTGAACACCGACAGACAATCGCCCCAACCATCAGTGGGTGAGACCCAAAATCCTCTCCCAGGCAGTGTTTAATAGTCCTGTCACTCGAATTTAGGCCAGGCTTTGACTGAGATCACTTCTTGCTCTCTTGCTCCATTTGGTTAATGTTTTCCATCATTCTCCAAATGCTCAATTGGTTTCCTCTGTTCCAGTTAAATCAGCCAAACTCCGCGTGAGCGCTCACGTAAAGAGACATAAATATGTAGATATTTAAAGATGTAGCAATGCTTAATTGCTGTTTTATTTGCAGGGCTGACATGGGATTTCCTTAATTCTGGGGAGTTTTATTCTGATTTTTTCCTGGGTTTAATTGTTCCTGTTGCTTTTCCAGATTGACTCCTGGTGCAAGGAGAACAGCTACGTGATAGCTGGATATTACCAGGCGAACGAACGCGTGAAAGATGCCAGGTGTGTTGGTGCAATATTTCCTTCTGTTTGCTCTTTTAGGTTGTACTTTGGACTCTGCCAGCAAAAATCATCCACATAAATCAGGCGTGTTGATTAACTTTGACAACTGTCATCTGGTTCCACATTGTCTCCCTGGTGCTGGGGGATGTGGCCTTTGTTCAGGTGCAGAACTCCAGGCTTTCCAGAATCCCTCCTCTTCGGTGGATACTATAAAAGGCCAGGCTTTGAATGACTGCCAGCCACTTTAATTGCAGTTGTCAGGGAAATAGCCAAAATTTGAAGCGTGTTTGCTTGTGCAGTACAGATCTTGTAAACTCTGAGTATCTCATGGAAAGTCAGAAGTGACCTAATTCTTTCTAAACTACTTAATTATCTCTGAGTTTTATTGAAGCCATTTTTTACGTGGAAAGGGGTGCTCTTGAAGTGGAAGATGATATGCAGTGATATTTCTTATTTATCACTTATTTTCCCCAGGTTTAGTATTTTGTTTCCCTCTGCCTGACTCAGATTACCCAATAAGCAATAAGGGACCTTCCTGTGAAGCCACAGTTTAGTTTCAGATCTGTGTATCACATGTTTACTCCTCTATCTATTAGACAAATCCAATATTGGGACTACTGAGAGTACACGATACTTGCATTTAAAATAAATAAGAACACCTTGTTTAAAGTATTATACCATGTTCCCTGGAAGTGTTCAAGGTCAGGTTGGACAGGGCTTGGAGCAACCTGGTCTAGTGGAAGGTGCCCCTGCCCATGGCAGGGGGTTGGAATGGGATGACCTTCAAGGTCTTTTCCAACCCAAACCATCCATGGTTCTCTGATTCCAGTTATTTGTTTGTGTATATTCAGACTCAAGTATGTTTTTTAAGTAACACTTGTGACTTCTTAGGTATCTAACAGGGATAAAGGCATTACTAGTAATTTCCTTACAAGGGAAATAAATCTGCTTGGAGACATTTTTAAGGAAAAGATACAGTTTGTTCTGTTTGAGGTTTGAACAAATATCTCAAGGTTGGTGTTTTTTTTAAACTTCAGTTTAATTTCTGAAGGTAACTGGCACCAGGTAGAGATTGTCGTTGGCACCACTGGCACCACATAGAGATTGTCATCTTTGAAACATGCTAAAGGTTTTAAAAGATCTTTTTAAAAGATTATCTGATTTTGATAGAACAGCTGGACAGTGAGTGAGTTCAAGTGCAGACTGGGGAGAAAACTCAGTTTTCTTTTTTAAATGCCTGCCAGGGCAGAGCTGGTTGCAGCGTTTGGTCTGGTGGAAGAAGGTAGGAGGCCACAAAACACTGATTCCATGACATTGAGCGCACAATTTGCCATTCCAAACCTGTTGCCTGAGCACAGCTGAGATCTGGACCATGTGCTGCAGAGAGGAGCTGGGCATTTTCTTGTCCTCCTTCTATCAGCTGTAGCATCAACTCTCTATCTTGTTCCTATCTGTAGGCACGCTATGACCTTCTCACATCTCTTTGAGCCCATTTCCTGCTGGTTTCAGCTGGGCTGTCGTGGTTCACATAACTCAGTTCCTTTTCCCTTCTGCTGCAGCCCAAACCAGGTTGCGGAGAAAGTGGCCTCCAGGATTGCCGAGGGCTTCACGGACACGGCGCTCATCATGGTAATCACCTCATTCCCCCTCACCCTCTCTTTATTGTATCCTGACCATGGTGTTGGACCAGCCATGGAAATGCTGTTTTTTGGGTCCTTTAATAAGTAATTAGTTTTCTCTTCCCCTCCAAATGCTCTGGGGAAGAGACGCAGTGACCTGTAGCCAGTGAAGTTCAAAGTCTGCAGAGAGGCTGTGGTGAGCTCTCTACCACCTCAAAGGAACTGGAGACCTGCTCTGCATGTTCAGGCAGCACATTCATGCTTCAACCCTGCTTCTGCAACATAAATTATTATCTTTAATTATTATCTTTAATTATTATCTTTAATTATTATCTTTAATTATTATCTTTAATGTCACAGTCAGGGCTTTGCCTCCTTGCTGCAGTGACAAAGGATGTTGGCAGCTTAAATTTGGCTGTGTGAAGGCAGAACAGTGGATAGGTGGAAGGTGCCCTGTTTTTACAAACTGACTGGGTTTTATTTCATCCCTTGGGGTGTTTTTGTGTCCACACTAGGTTGACAACACCAAGTTCACGATGGAGTGTGTGGAGCCTGCCATCCACGTGTACGAGCTGCACGAGAACAAGTGGAGGTGCAAGGACCCGCACATGTGAGTAAACTCCGAGTTCAGTGGCATTTGGGTAGTGAGGGGAAACAGCTTGTCTGGGTAATGGCAAAACTTTTTGGCTGAGTGACACTGTGGGTGTAGCTGACAGTGATTTTAAAGCTGTTTCTTACTGCAGTGAGAGAGAAGAGCTGGTTCCTGCAGCCAGGCCGTGACCATTCTGCTGTGCATGGCTTAATTTTCAGAGTGGAGGAGGTGGTGGAGATTTCCTCTTGTGATTCCTATTTATCCCTGACTGTTTTACATCCTAGTGATTTTTGTGAAGATTGGACTGAAGCCCAGAGAATTGCTGCCTCTCTCTTGGACAGCAAGTCCTATGAGACGCTGGTGGATTTTGACAATCACCTGGATGACATCCGGAATGACTGGACAAACCCGGAGATCAACAAAGCTGTCCTGCACCTGTGTTAGAGGGGCTCCTACTGACTAATCCAAGGGCATTCCCACTATGTACTGAAGAGAGAAAAATGCTATTTTTGAATGTAAATAGAATAATATTCAGTACCTTGTGTGGAAAGCTGACTGATTAAAGGGGAGGGGCACGTCACGTGGCGCAGTGAATCTTTTTTGTGAGATTCCTTGGAAGAGATGCCAGCTGTCAGTTCCAGCTGTCCTCGTGGACACCATCCCACTTGTAGTGAATGTTGCTATTCCTTCGAAACCGGGACTGCTTCTGCTTGGCCCCACTGTCCGTATGACAAAGTTTTGACTAAGCTTTTCTAATCTTTAGAGAGGTCACTTTTTAATGATTTATGGAAATACCTTTCAGAAAAAAATCAATCCTGTCCTCAGATGAGAGATTTTTTAAGGGCAAAGACATAAAATGTAAGGTGAACGATTTCTTCTGGCCTGGATTGGAATTGAAATTGTAATTCTGTTGGCACAGTAAAATGCAAACTGCTGAGGATGTTCCATGCTCATGTGTCACCTGTTTTGCAGTGCTTTAGCATGACACAGCTACAGAGAGTGTTTTAAAAGCAGTATTCCCAAATAATATGGTGATTCCTGCTCTCCGTGGGCTTGACAACCAGTTATTGCTTGAACATGTTAAACACAAAGTAAATGATTTATAAAAAGCACTGGAAGCACACTAATGAGTTTGAATCTACATTTTTAGTCTACAAGAGTGAAATACCATACGAATTTTTTGCATTTTGGGGGGGTTTATCTGCAGGTCTCATTTTCCAGTGGTTCACATGGTACATATTTCAGTAGGTCCAAAATGTATGGCTCTGATTTGAAGGCAAGCAAATGGAATCTAAGGAGCCTGGATACAGTGTAGTTCAGTTTCTGCCTTGTCTTTCTCATTAATATTTATTTCCAAGAAGAAGTTTACTGGACAATGAGGCTTTGTGTCAGACTAGAACAGCTCTTTGTAAGCCTTGTTGCCTCACTCCTCATGGTTGTTTGCCCAACTGTAGTTAAACATAGCCTCAATCCTCTGAATTTCCTTCTATTCCTACCCAAAAATGTGTTTACAAGAAAGATCCAAATGTCCACCAAATGGTCCACTTCTCTCCAAGCTCCTGCTTTTTCCTTAGTGTCAGAATCCCAGGATGGTGGTGAGCTGGGAGGGACCTTGAAGATCATATTCCACCCCCCTGCCATGGGCAGTGACACCTTTCACTAGACCAGGTTGCTCCAAGCCCCGTCCAACCTGGTCTTATTTTAAAACACTGAGAATGGGATTGCCAAAACCTCTTGATCTGCCTCCACTTCAGGTTCAATAAGCACAAGTTTTACTCTTGGTCCTGGGGTAAGGCTAAAATGCTGTTGGCAGCAGGGAATAGAACAGGATGCCTCCAGTCAGGTCCTGCTGTGGAGTTCCCTCCAGGTCAGATTCCACCGAGGCAAGAGTCGAGATTGGAGGTTCAGGGAGGAGAGGAATGTTTGGTTTATCTCTGTTCTGCATTAGACAGGTGTGACTACAACAGAGATTGGCCTGTAGTCAATAACCTTTCCTAAGAGTGAGTCAGGCTTGCAGGAGAGGAAAATGTTTTCACTTGTTGAATGAAAACATCTATTTAGCTCACAAACAATGAGATCAGCACGTTCCAGTGGCTGTTTCACTCCACAAGTGTAGGAAAAGATATCCTGGGAGCAGGCTCTGCAAACCGCCCAGGATGCAGGAAGAGGGCTGTTGCTGTACTTTGTGCAAACACCTCTTGAAATCCAAGAGGCAGATGTTATCTTAGCAAGATTCCTTGTGCGGGGTTGTCAGTAGGAGCTGGTGTGTCTGCAGAGCCACTGGAAATGTATTATTTCATGTTCTTTGTAACAGGATATCGTAATGGAGCTTTGATCATACATATGCTAATTCAGGCTAATCTTCCCATCCTCCCCTCTCATCCCCCTAAGACAAGGCAAACTGTCTCCTCATTCCCTGTGACTAACCACTGGGACACACTGCTGGAAGGGGAGCAGCTTTTATTGCTTTGCCTTCCCCTTTTGTTATCTTTTGTTTGCTCTCAAATGAGGATCTCTGAGTGTTGTGCCACCAGCAGAAGCCCAGGCTGGCTTTGAGCAGAGGACAAGAGCTGCTGCGGTGCAGGTCTGATCTCACCTGGCCTATTTGCATTGAAGGCTGGACAAAAGGCAGCAATTCCAGGCAGCCACTGTGGCTCTTGTGAAAGAATGAGGAAGCTGCAGGTCTCAGGGAAGGCAGTGTTCCCCTTTCCTGCTGATGCACTACGAGCAAATGCTGGTTTCCTGGCTGGCTGATCAGTTGGACTCATCGCAGGAATTTGAGGTAACTCCTTTTTAAAACTTCAGGTGGAAGAAATCTTGGGGAAGGCATCTCTGTTGCTGGAGCCCTCGTGATAGCTGGGAAGACAGTACTGGGAATGGGTGTCCTACTCTTTTTTGGTTTGTTAGTAGTTAATGACATGTAGGATTAATTTTTTCCCCCTTTATTCACCAAAATTTGGAAACTTGGCATTTACCTGCCCAGATGTTTAACTCCCAGCTCTTTACCTCATCCATACGACCTGAAGGACTTGGAAATCAGAGAATCACAGAACAGTTCGGGTTGGAAGGGACCTTAAATCTCATCTCATTCCACCCCGTGCCATGGGCAGGGACACCTTCTGCTATCCTAGGTTGCTCCAAGCCCTGTCCAACCTGACCTTGAACACCTCCAGGGATGGGGCAGCCACAGCTGCTCTGGGCAACCTGTGCCAGGGTCCTCACCACCCTCACAGGGAAGAATTCCTTCCCAATATCCCATCTAAACCTGCCCTCTGTCAGTGGGAAGCCATTCCCCCTTGTCCTGTCCCTCCAGGCCCTTGTCCAAAGTCCCTCTTCAGCTCTCCTGGAGCCCCTTTAGGCACTGGAAGGGGCTCTGAGGTCTCCCTGGAGCCTTCTCTTCTCCAGGCTGAACAGCCCCAGCTCTCCCAGCCTGTGGGATTCTTTTTTCCCCACTCTCAACCCCAGTATTTCAAAACAGTGACAAACTGCCCCCTCAAGCAGACAGGTGACAGGAGCCACAGGGTGCCGGATCAGTTGGTTTTGGGGTGTTCACAAGTGAGGTACTTCTGCCATTTGCCCTCTGAGTTCATCACTCTGTGTGTATTATGAGAATTTTGGGAGGTTTTTTTCTCCATCCAGCAAGGAAAGCAGCTTGCCACTGGCATTTTCCCCCTTCCCATCTGCCAGCAGAGCTGCTCATGGGATATTCCCGCCACATATCAGCGTGAAAGCAAGCAAAGACCTCCCACATAACCTGCCTCAGCTCATTAGAGCTGACCTGGGTGCCGGCAGAAGCGTGGAGGAGCCACAACCCCTTCATCTGGCACAGCTGGTGCCGGGAGCAGACAGATGTGCAGGGCCCACCCCCAAGAATTCCTTATGCAAGCGGCAGAGCTGCGAGGAGAGGTGACAGTGACGGATGCAGGAAGCAATCCCGGGTCTCTCTGCTCCCTGGCTCGAGGCCTAATCGCTGCACTCTGCAACCGGGAAAGTGTCTGGAGATGCCGAGTGGAGGGCACTGCTCGGAGACCGAGGGATGCTAATGGAGGAGGCTCTTAGTGGGGTGGGCTTGCGGTTGAGTGCAGCTTGGAAAATGGCCTCGAGGGGAAATGTGCTCAATTTGCGAGCTGTGCTTCTCGTTTGGGCTTAATTCAGCTCCTGGAGCGGAGCTGGGAACGAGCTGGTCCATATTGCGCTGGTCCAGGCCGGGCAGGCAGCCTCCCTCACATCCTGCTCGGGCTCTGCTTCTTCCAGCTGGAGTTAAACACCTCAACACCTCACCCTTCTGCACCACAAACCCCTCTTTGCTCTCCCCACTGCCCCAAACCAGCCCTCCTGCCGCCAGCAGCGATTTCTCTGTGCCCAAGTATCCGCTGAGGACTTTATCGATTTATCTTTTTTTTTTCCCACTGTCGCTTTTAGACCACATTTTTCACCCAGCCTTCTCATCCGAAAGCACACCCCAGCTGCATCCCGTCCTCTGGTTTCCAGCCGTCGCCCTGCGAAAGGCGGCGGAGGCGGATTCCGAGAGGATGGAGGCGGGGGGCTGGCGGGGGTCCCGTGGGGACGGCGTGGCCAGCTTGGCACTCGGCGGTCTGCCGGAGCTGTGATGAAGCAAGCAGGGAATTCTGCTCTTAAAATTACCTGGTAGGTGGGCTGGGGGCAGTGGGTGACTCCGTGAGTGGTTCCAGGCAGCGCCGCTCCGGCTGCAGCGTGGCAGCACTTTGGCTGGATGCGGGCAGGAGCCGTGCCAGGCATGTCCCGCTCTGCACAGCGCCAGCCCACCAAGGCCCAGGGAAACGGCACAGCCCTTCCTAGAAATGCGCCCTGGAGCTTAAAAGATGGACCTAATTGAAAAAATTGTATTGAGGTTGTAGCAGGGGATAAAAGGGAAAGCTGGGCCGAGATTAACCTGGAGCTCGGTGAGCCGGGAAGCGTGGCAGCCGTGGCCAGGTCCCTAAGCCAATTCCCGGCCGTGGCCTCCCTGTTCAATCCATGCTGACGGGGAGGTGGTTTGTCCTGGATGCAGGAGAGCCCGGCACGCTCTGGTTTTGTGCATCAGGTAAGTGCTGATTTTCCCCTTTGCTTCCAACCCCCCCATCACAGCAGCTCCTGCCTCGCTCGTGCCACATCCCGGCGGATTTTCTTCAGGGGTGTTTTCTGCCTGCTTGGTTCCTGCTCAATCTGCTGGTCCTGCCAAGAGCCTGTGCTTAGGGAATGCTGGAGCTGCTCCAGTTTCCCCAGAGTCTGCATCCTCAGCTGCTTCCTCGTGACATCCTCCTCCCTTCCCATGCCTGGCATCCCCTCTGGGCACCACTCACCAGCCCTGGATCACTGTGGGGCTCCAGGAGGGAGATTCTTTTCCCCTCCCAGCACTTGCTGCCTTGTCGCCACTTCCAGCTCCAGCAAGTGCCATGCAGTGGCCCTGCAGCCCCTTTCTGGGGCACTCCCTGAGCCAAGCTGGGACCTGCCCTTTCCCCTGCTTGGGCCAGAAGGGATGGGGGCAGAAGCGGGGCCAGGTGGCCTCGTAGCTCCGTTAGCACAGAGCCAGGGTGACGTGTCACCTGCGTTAGCAAACCCTGGGACTCCGTGACCCAGAAAGCTCCTTCCTCCCCCTCCCTCCCTGCTAAAACAAGCCCAGCTGGTGTTTGCAGGAGCAGCTCCTTGAAGGGAGCAGGCAGAGCTGCTCTGGGTTCTCCAGCCAAAGCTTTTCTTGTGGCCGGTGTTTGCAAAACACATCCTCTTCCCCACAGTTCCCCCGGTGCCTGGGAAACCATCAGCTCACCCTGCCCTTCACCTGAAGGGAAGTTCGGAGGCTGCCCTCCATCCTCCCCCCCCATCAGTGCCTCAGCCCTCTGCATCCTCCCCTGCATCAGGGCAGGATGGAGTTGGTGGGCTGGGGAGCACTGAGCCCAGGGAGCGGAGCAGCCCAGCTGCCAAAGGGCCACAGCCAGGACTGGAAACCAGTGACTGACCTCATCAGAGGGCAGCTCAGCTGGTTGCCTGGGCTGGAGATTCAAGTGTTCCCCCAGAGAGTGAAGGTGGCTGCAATACCCACCCACCAAGGAGCTGTATGAGCCCATGGTCTTCCTCCCCCTGGCTGGCTGGCTCTTGGTTTGGCCAGTTGCCCTGACGTGATGCTCAGCAAGTCACAGCTCAGCCCTGGCCCTGTGACAGCAATCAGGAACTGGGAGAGATGTGGATTGGAGGCAAGGCTTGGGGGGTGTCTCACAGTGACCCAAGAAAGGAGGTGTTGAGCCCACTGGGCTGCTCCTGTGCTTGGAACTCAGGTCTCCCTAACACTGGTCATTCAGCAGTGATGGGGGCTCCACACCAGAGAGGTTCCAGTCCATTTCCAGCCACCTCGAGGTGTCCAACCCCCACCTTCTGTTTCCCAGCCCTGGGGGGGGACAGTAAGGGGTGTCTGAGCTGTGTTTGTGCCTATCAGGTGACGCCACAGCAGCTGGAGCAGTGCTGCACCCGCAGAGCAAACCACAGGTATTTTAGCAGCCTGGTGTTTATGTTTCCCTCCCCTGCTGCAGCAAACCATCACTTTCTGTCAGCTTTTGAGCAACAACTGCTGCTCCAGGCCAGGCTAATTCCAGCCCTCGTGGGTTTGGGGCTGTTTGTTCTCACCCAGCAGTAGCAAACAGGTAGTTTTGGAGAGAGGCATCAAAATAGCTAAATGCAGAGGAGGGATTTCTGCTGCTCAGACTGGATTTGTGCTGCCAGTGAGGGGTCCCCGGGTCAGGTTTACCAGGCTCTGGCTCAGAACTTGGACTTTGCAGCTGAACAGGCAAAAAAAACCCCACATGAGCCAGTTAATTTATCTGTTTTCTTGTGCAAAACCAGAGCTCTGGGTTGCAAGCCCCCCTGCCCTGACCTCTGTGCCCAGGACAGTGCCTGAAGCTGGGGCTGCAGCCTTTCCCCCATTCCATCCTCCCCTCTCCTGAGTTTGGAGCTTTGCAATAACTCAGTTACTTGACAAATCAGAGGAGTCAGGTCGGGGAGGAAATCAGCCCTTTCCATAGCTGTGATTTTCATCAGACATGGCAGGACCAAACCAGCAGAAAATGGAGAAGAACCTTTCCCCTCCCTGCTCCTCTTAATGCCCATCCCAGCCAGGCTTGGTCTCGTGGTGGGGCTCTGATCTCGCCGGAGACCTCCCAGGCTCCTGGGATGGGTTCGCTCCGGTCCCTGGGTGAAGTTCAAAGCTTTCCCTCCCTTGCCTGCCCCGAAGCCGCGGGGTGTTTAATGTGCGGCCGGCGTTCCCTGCACGCCGGCGCCCTGCATTTGAACCGCTGCTTTTCAGCTCTGTCTGAAAAGGAGCCGGCGCGGGGCCTCTCCTCTTAATTGCGGAGGAGGTGAACATGGAAAAGCCTCAGGCTGTTGCTAATGCAGGCGAAGGCGGCTGCTCCAGAGGCAGAGCCTTCCTTCTTCCAGGCATCCTCCCAGCGGGGTGGTACCCGACCCGGAGCTCTCATCCTGGGCATGGTGAGAAACCCACTGCCTGGTGCTGTTCCCCCTTCCAGGCTAGTTTTTGGGCTGACAGGTCAGATGGGAAGGGGAAAAGATCCTTTATGGAAGCTGGAGAAGGAGAAGATGCTCCCAGAGGCTGATGTCTCTAGACATCAGGACCTCAGGGATGGCGATGGGTCCTGCCAGAGCTGGGTGTGGACCCTCATACCAAACTGGCACTTGCCTTTCCAGGTACTCGGTGGCCCCTCTGGCTGCTTGTTGGAGTGCTCAGTGCCCCGGGGCTTTGGCCGCAGGCGAGAGCACTCCTTCCTCTCTCTGTCGGCTCCGGACTGGATTGTGCAGCGGGGTGAGAGTAAAGCAGCATTTCCTCATCACCCAAGGGCTTTGCTGGGCTTGGATGTGGCTGGAGTGGGGGATGGATGGGAGGAGCCGGGGCTCCGCTAACCTGATTAACCAGGTTAGAAACCAACCTAGCAAAACCCCAAAGCCGGTTCTCGCTGCAACCTCCCCCCGCGCTCCCCGGGCACGGCTGGTCCTGAGGGGAATCCCCTCCCAGCCTCCTGAATCCGAGACCAGCCAGGGGAGGTGGGATGCGACGGTGGGCATCGTGCCTCTGGCTCCCGGGACCGGGTAAGTTCCATCCCCTAGGAGCACCACAGTGCCTTCGGTCCCATTCCCCCTTCCCAGTCCTCCCTGGCCCCACAGGCAGGCTGAGCATCCCCCTCCTCCTGGGCACTTCATCCCCCATTCCAGTGACGCCTGTGATGAGTGTCTGGGGGTTTTTGGAGCGTGAACTCGTTGGAATGCAAATATTCCTTGGCCTGGTGCTGGCACACGGGAGTGAAGTCGAAGCCCCAGCAGCAACCACCAGAAATCCTGCTGGAATCTCTGCAGGGGAATTTTCTCTACCCAAACCACAAGTGGTGCTGGAGCTTGGCCACAGGGATAGGAGCCAGCAGCGGTGGGGAGGGGGCTGCTGTGTCCTGTGAAGGTTTGGCCACTGGAATCTAATCTCACAGGATTAGATCCTAGAGGATATCCCACGCCGTGCTGGGAGTCTGGGTGTGCCCAGCATGACTCTCCTCCAGCCCCAAGTGGTGTGAGCCGCCAGTAGGTGCCCAAAACCACAGGGCTCTCCTCAAAACAGGTTTCTTGCTATTTGGGAAGCCTCCAGGACAGCTGCAAAGTGGGAGGCACGGAGAGCACTCCATTCCCTGCACCCTGTCTCAGCTCAGGGTGCACTTGGGGAGCTGATGAAAATGCAGAATTAAAACCAGCAATAGCAAGTTTCCACTTCCCCTTGTTGCCTGCTGCCGACCCACCTCAGGGCTGCTTAGAAAGGCAAACTAAAGCCTCACTGGAGGTCAGGCAGGGGGAACAGAGGGTTTGTTTGGCTCTCTGCAGGGCCCAAAGTTTTGAAGAGCCAAAATGAGTCACTGACCCTCATCTCAATAAGCTTTTCCCAGCAGCTGTGGGCAGGAGGGAAGTAGATTTCCCAGTAAAGGCATTTTTTCCTAGAATGACTTTCAGCATCTTAAAAGAAGTGATGTCTCACAATGGGAATCATCCACCCGAAAGCTCTCGGGGCATCAGGGATGCCCAAGAGGAGCGGGATGATGTGCATTCCCTCAGTGCATCCCAGCAGCTGCTCTGGCTCAGCCCAAGGGAGGCAGCCCCGGGAGGATTCCTCTATTTCCTGTGCACAGGCTTGGGGTTTTCTCTGCAAGAACCAAAGAAATAACAACCTGATTCCACCTGCTCATGACCTTCTCGCCTCCAAATATTTGCAGCAGCGACCCCAGCAGCAGAGAAGCTGGGATGGGACCCCTCCACCTGGCAACAGGCTCCTTCTCCACCCTCCCAAAAAGTTCTTACTAAACTCATCGGATGAGATTGAGTCACTGAAGTGCTGTGACATCACCGGTGGTTTCTGAGACCGAGCAGCCGCACTTCCTGTTGTGCCCGGGCTCCTATAGATACAGGCACGCACGGATAGATGTGAGCTTTTAGCCAGCAATCAAGTTCCCTCTCCTTCCTCCTTCCCAGCATCGCTTCCCTCAACCCTCTGCTCTCTTTTCCAGCTCCAGCAGAGAGGACCAGCGGCGGAGCTGGAGAGCTGGATCCCACTGAGAGGATGAAAACATGGGGCACAAGTTATCCTGCCTGAAAGGTAAGTTTTGGGTGGGATGTTGGGGTGTCTCCTGCTCTGTGAAGGCATCTGGGGGATGGTCGTACATGGAGGGGCTTTAGGTGTGGGTGGGATTGGCGAGGTTTGGGATACTGGTGGTATTTATGAAGTCCCTTGGGTGACCTGTTGCACTTGTACCACCCTAGAGATGATTTTCCCAGCCCCATCAAAATATAAAAGTCCAGTCCTGCGTTTGTTCTGCATCCTCTGCTCTGGAGGATCCATGGCTTAAGAGCATCCCTCAGTAAATAGGTGAATTTTCCTTTGAGGTGGGAAAGGGCCTTCAAAAGCATGGATGGGCTGCTCAGGGATGCATGGATGGGATGCCTGGGGTCAGGCCACAGGCCTGGGGTCCCAGCTCCTGACCTCCAGGCTGACCCTGAGTGTCCTTCGCTGCTCCACTCTCCCCAGGGATACTCCAGCCCAGGAGTTTTCCCCCCCAGCTTTAATTTTCTTAATGGATTTAGGCTGGGAATGGCATCACAGATGTCTGCACAGGGTGAAAGCGGGAGCTTTTAATGCTCCTGGCCTGGCAGGGCAAAGGCTGGATGTCGCATCTCCCATTAGCTCTGCATCCCAGTGGCCTGTATTAATCATCCTTGGGGTTCTTAGGGATGGGAGTTAATGAGTTTTCCTCTCTGAGATGCAGGGCTGCCTCTTCCCTGGCGTCTCGCAAGCCTAAATTTGGTGAGACGCTGCTTGTGATGGGCACAGAGTTGGATGCATCACCCAAAAATGAGCACTGCCCCCTCCTTGCATCAAGGATGCTGGAGGAGAGGTGTGTGTTCTAGGGAATTTGGGGGTCCCACAAACCCCCCAGCCCAACATGGGGTGACTGAAGAGGGGAAGCAGGCAGCCAGGGAATCCCCACCCTGACCTCAATCCAGGACAGAGCCGCAAAATATCCCCCTGTGCCTCCAGACCCCTCAGACGAGCTTGGAGTCTACAATAAAAGAAAAGACCCTCCCGCTTTTCAGCTCCCTTATGTAAGGCAGGGCTTTATCCTTAATTAAAAAGAGATTAAAAATATCAGTGTCTGTCCCCTCCGGGCATTTTCCTGCTTGGGAAGAGCTGAAACCTCCCTGGATGCTGCCTGTGCCGCGCGGGGCTTTTCTGCTGATTAAAAAAGCAGATTAAAGCGATCTGTTCCCTGGAGGGGGGTGGGCAGGCGGCCGGGGGGGGATCCACCTCTGTGAAACACCCTAAAATCCAAGTGGGAAGGAGGTGCGAGGTGGGGGTGCCTGTGGATTCTCAAGTGTCTCGTATGGGGATTACACAGAGGAGGGTGGGGAAGTGTGGGGTGTTGCAGCATCTCCTCCTTCCCCTGCTTTATCCCCCCAAATTCCACAGGCTTGAAGACATGTGTGAGCAGCGGGAACGGCAGCGACCGGCCCCCGACAGCGTCCTCGGGGGAGAAGAACCTGCACGTGCCCTCCATCATCGTCACGCCGCCCACACCCACGGGGACCATCCTGTCCCGAGAGGGGCGGAGGGCGGGGGGGCCGTACCCGTGCAGCCAGTGCTGAGTGGGGACAGGGGGAACACCATCCCGGCGGGATGTGTCCCTGCTCCGCTGGGATGGAGCCGCGGCCTCCAAGATGCCACTCATCCGGATCCGGCACCCCAGGAGCTCTGCAGGGACACACGTGGCACCCACACGGGTGGGTTTGGACAACAGTGACTAGTTTTTCTCGCTTTTCCTGACAGCACCGTGGAGGGGGTGGCACTGCGTGGATCCCCCCGGTGAATAAAACCCCTGGGGTTCTGCCCCCCCCAGTTTGGCACCGGTTTGGCTGTGGGTGGTCTGTCCCCCAAAAGCACCCTGTCACCACCGCCCTGGAGCTGCCTTCGTGCCGACTGGTGGCCAAAAGTGAGGTCCCCCCCTCCCCACACAGACTGAAGAATTAAACAGCACCAGGAAAATGAACTCGGCGTCACCCGCATCCCGCCGGATCGGCCGCATCCTGGGAGGGAGCCGGGGGCGATGCTTCCCAGGGAGCGGCAGCACCCGGAGCCGGCGGGAGAGGCGGGAGTGTGAAAGCAGATGGAAATTTAATTTTTTAATGACAGCAGCAGATGGCAAAAGACACGCGAGGGGAGGCGCAGCGTGGGGGGGACGCTCGCGGAGCGCCCGGCAGAGCTGAGCACGTGCCGGCGGCACCGCGGGGGCTGCGCCGGGAACAGGGGGCTGTGGGACCCTCCTCCTGCTGCCCATGTGGGGGTGGTCTGGGGGTCCCCAGGGCTTGGCTCCCAGCCCAGCCCAGGGGCACCCTTGGGGCAATGCTCATCCCAAGGGTTGGGGTTGCTCCATGGATGGTCCTGAGGCTGAGCCTGAGGTGGTTTGGGAGGGGGATTGGAGAGAGGTGGATTCATCGGGGGGGAGTTGTTTCTGTGGAGATCTGCAAGCTGGGATGCGATCCTCCTCCCCCCAAATCATCCAGAAGCCACTTGGCTGGGCTGGGTGGGGGTGCGTGGAGGAATGGATAGATGGATGGATGGATGGGTGGATGGATGGATGGATGGATGGATGGGTGGATGGATGGATGGATGGACGACGTGGTGTATGGACAGACAGCAAAAGGACTGATTGCTGCTATAAGGAATGGATAGGTGGATAGATGGATGGAGGATGGGATGGATGGGTAGAGGGAGGTGTGGATGAATGGATGAAGACATGGATAGATGGAGGAGTGGAAAGGCAGATGGAAGTATGGATGGGTGAATGGATGGATGGTTGAGTGGGTGGACAAGTGGATGGATGGGTGGGTGGATTGAGGCACGGATGGATAGACGGGTACATGATGGGTGGGTGGATGGATAGGTGGGTGGGTAGACTGAAGCATGGAGAGGGATGGAGGAGTGCATAGGTAGCTAGATGGATGGGTGGGTGGGTGAATAGAGGGTGGGTGGATGGGTGGATTGAGGCATGGATGGATGGATGGAGAAATGGGTGGATGAAGAGGCTGATGAATGAAGGGAAGGTCTATATGGATAGATGGATGGATGGATGGACACCCACCCCAGCCCGTGTCCCCCCGGCCGGGGTTCCGCGAGTCCCCGCCCCCTCCGGGGGCGCTGCCGTTCCGGCCGCCAGGGGGCGCCAGGGGCGGGCGCGCTGGGAGAGGGGGCGGGGCCGCCGCGAGTCCCGCGCGCCCCGGCAACAAGTGCCGAGCACTGATTGGCCGAGCGCCCCGGGAGAGGCGTCGTGATTGGTCCCCGTGCCTCGGGCCGGACCTGCCCCCGCCGGTCCCCGCCCGGAGAGCGCGATGAGCTGAGCAGCCAATCAGAGGGTCGTGCGCCACGGCAACAGTGGGTATGGGCCAATCAACGCGCTCCGCGCCGTGCCAGGGCCCGCCCCCCTCGCGGAGACCGCGAAAACGCTCCGGGCGGCGGGAACGGGGCGGGGCCTGCGGGCCGTGCAGCCAATCGGGTGCGAGGGCGCGCGCCCGGTGCGGTCCCGCTCTGATCCCGGTTCGATCCCGGTTCGATCCCGGTTCGATCTCGTTTTAATTCGGGTTCTGACCCCCCCGCGTCCCACTCGCCGAATGGAGCCGGCCGAGGTGGAGTTTCTGGCCGAGAAGGAGCTGGTGACGATCGTGCCCAACTTCAGCCTGGACCGGATTCACCTCATCGGGGTCGGCGGGGCGGGACCGGGCGGGGCGGGTTTGGAGACGCGGGGCTGGGGGTCGAGAGAGGGGTACGGAGCCAGGGGACACTAAAAACAGGGTCGGGGGGGCTCACGGGCGGGGCTGGGTCTGGAGGGGGGCTTGTAGGCTTGGGGACTTGGGGACACAGCCTGGGAGTCAGGAAGTGGGGGCTTGGGGGACAGAACCTGGGGTCACTGGGAACAGGAGCTTGGGGGACTGGAGGGCTGGGGTTGTTTGGGAAACAGCCTGGGGAGATTTGGAAAAGCTTTGGGGGGGCTTGTTGGTCATGGTTTGGAGGTCAGGGTATAGGAGGACAGGGGGGACTTGAGGCCAGGGGAGTCCAAGGACAAGGGCTGGGCAGTTTGGGACAGAGCCAAGGGACACTGAGTGCAGGGTCTGGGTGGGTCTTGGGATCGGGTATGGGGGGATTAGGTGTGGGAGATTGGGTTTAGGGGATTGGGATTGAGGGGCAGGATCTGGGGAGATTGGGGGAGAGTGGCTGAGGGGATTGGTGATGGTCTGGGGTGTTTGGCAACAAGAGGAGAGGATGGGAGGCACGGGGAAGGATCTGGATGGATTGGAGGTGGTGGTTTGTTTTCCAGGGAGATCTGGGTCCTTTCAATCCTGGTTTGCCGGTGGAAGTGCCTGTCTGGTTGGCCATTAATCTGAAGCAGAGGCAGAAGTGTCGGCTGATTCCTCCAGAATGGATGGATGTTGGTGAGGATGGCGGCTTTGGCTTCAGCCCTGGCCTTCAGTGGGTGCAGTGGAAACATGAAATTAGAAAAACACCTATTTTTCACCATTAGTGGGGAGTTTAATTCAAAAACACAAAGTAACTGAGAGAGAAAGATCTGATGTTTCACTCCTGGAATTCTTTATATTTACTGTGAGGGGGGTGAGGCCCTGGCACAGGTTGCCCAGAGAAGCTGTGGCTACTCCATCCCTGGAAGTGTCCAAGACCAGGTTGGACGGGACTTGGAGCAACCTGGGATAAGTGGAAGGTGTCCCTGCCATGGCAGGGGGTGGAATCGAGATGAGCTTTAAGGTCCCTTCCAATCCAAACCATTCCACGATTCCATGGTAAAGAAGGTATCATCTTCCCAATTAAGCCAGGTATTTAACTGCTGCTCCTCTGGAGAGGAGGAAGGACAGGGATGAATCACCAGCCCTGACACCTTCAACAGTGGTCACTGGTCTTTCTGAGCAGTACCTGGATATCTCACAAGGCTTGTTCAGAAGGAGCTTTGGGGACCTTGGATCACAGTGAAGAAATTCCTCCTTGTATCCGACCTGAACCTCCTCTGGCACAGCTTGAGGCCATTTCCTTTGTCCTGTTACTTGTTCACTGGCAATAACTCTGGTTGACACTCTGTGAGGAGGGAGACCTTGGAGGCTGTGATGTCCCTGTCAGCATCCTTGTGTGCTTCCTCACAGGAGCCTTTTCCTGTCCTCACATCATTTGAAACTTGGATATAGAGTTGATCCTACAGAAATAACACGTGTGTTTCCAGGGATGGATAAAAATGTACCTGGAGTATTGAAGGCCTGGTGATGCCTGATGATCCCTACTTGTATTTTAGGAAAACTGGAGGAAATACGGGACCAGGAACGGAAAGAGGACACATTCACTCCGATGCCCAGCCCCTATTACATGGAACTCACCAAGCTGCTGTTGAACTAGTGAGTAGGAGCTGAGCTGTGGCATTTTCCACCCAAGTACGTGCTTGCACGGACAATCTTTCAAGCCTTGGTTGGCAGCAGCCCCGGAGGGCGGCGGGAAGAGCGGGAGTTAACGGAGGTTTATCTCACAGCCTGCCAAGATTTCGCAGCAGCAGTTTCCTCATGGTAACTTTGCATTTCAGTAACTTGGGGATTGCTTGTTCCGTGGCCTCATAATTGGGGCTGTGCCGCTTTATTGAGCAGCAGCTCAGCGTGGAGGCCTGGAGGATCCGCAACACGTACCACGGCTGCAATCTGTTCAGCAGCCTAAACCCTCCAGGCTTCTTCCTTGGCTCTCCTTCAGGAGGAAAGCTCCTCTTTCCTCAGCCTGAGAAGCAGGAGACCGGGGATATTCTGAGCCTGAGCTCCTGCCTGCTGAGGCATTTCACTTGTAAAATGTGCTGGCTGGTATTTTGCTCAGCTTGGGCTCTGGTGACTTTAAGCCCTCGATTAAGCAGGGTGGTCATTCCAGCTCTGGCTTTTCCTCTGGAGATGAGGCTCTTGGCTTGCAGCTCCCTCCCTCACGCTACAACAACCCTGACAGCTCTGTCCGTGCGAATCGATCGGATCTCTCAAGGTCCTTATGGCAGCGCTGAACGGCCTTAATGGGACGATGTGGCACATCTCACACAGCCCTTTCAGCTTAATTCTCCCTGATGGAGCCCCGGGAGCCCCGAGCCGGGGCTTTAATCGCGGCCAAGCCCTTTGATTCCCTGGCTGCCCGTGACTTTGGCCGGGTTATTGGCCCTCCGTGCACCTCGCACCAGCTGGGCAATTACAGAGCAGAAGGATTCTAGCGAGAACCAGATGCTGCATAAGAGCTGAGCATTCCTGGGTAAATAAACCATCCCAGAAATCCCAGCAGCACAAGTACCAGGCTGGATTTTAATGTGGAGTTGCAGGTTTTTTCCTCCGTAGCAAACTGCTCTGCGAGCGCCTCGGAGGGGTGAGGCGCTGCCAGCGTGACCTAACGCCGGTGACACAACATACACGTCCCTTGCAGCCTGTTCTGATCCTCTCTTTCCTTTCCCTTTTCTAGTGCCTCAGACAACATCCCCAAAGCCGACGAGATCCGGACGCTGGTGAAGGACACGTGGGATA